GATCCTCCCCTCGATTACAACTGCGCGATGCATGTCCTCACGTGTATTCCACACTCCTATTAACTAGTTATCAACATTTATACACGGTACAGCCAAGTTTCTCGCACGCACGCACGCACGCACACACACGCACGCACGCACGTGCACACACATGCTTCGACCCGCTGGTAGAGGACTGTGCAAGGACCCCTAATCGAGGACACGCGAGCTTCTTCGGGGATCCTCGAGGTGGCAATTCGCGATGCTCGCTATGACGTTGAAGAAGCTTGAGGAGAGGCTGACGTGCGCGCGCGGCATCAACTGCCTGCAACGCAAACGACTTGCTCCTGAGCGGATTAAACTGGCAAAGTATATGAAATGAAATGAAAACAACGTTCCTGCCGGGAGCCCGGCGCGTTGTGCTGCCTTGATACTTCCGCGAAAACGAGAGAGAAGCGCGCTGTCTCGCTTCGTCTGCTTTCTTCCTCGCGGTGGACACACGTCGCCCGTAAAAGCGCAATTTCGAGGACTGGCAGAATTTGGCTGATATCGAAAATACCGAGACGATATCCCGAGATGGTTTTCCCGAATTATTTATAATAGTACGCGCAGGTAATTATTAATTGGGACTGAGAGTTATCACCTATACAGCACCAAAGTTGCAGCAACATTGCTGCAATATTACAATGCTGCAGCAATATTGCTGCAACTTTTGTGCCGTATGGGCAAGTCGTAGCACATTTTCCGTCGTATTTCTCGTTAAAATTGGAATTGATATAATTTTGAAGAAAAAAAAAAAAACTCATTTCAGCGACAAGGCATCGGTCATTACAACTGGTCTGTATTTAACCGGCAGCTTGTCCATTTCGGATGTCAAAAGTTTTACAATACGTTGCGGATAAGCGCGCAAAATGCGAGCGAAATTATGCAACAACTTGATAGATTTGAAACTTCGGTTCTTCGAAGCGTTGTATTAATAATAATGTTAATAATATTATAATTATTATGTACCCAAATAATTACAGATTACAGATATTATATATTAATAACAAAATATTGGTCATTGTTACATTCAATAATTGTAATATTGCTTATAATGTAACGAAATATGTTCGAGCAACGAAATTTTCAAAATGCCAACATTCGAACGTCTAAATATTTGGAACTCCGAGAAAACTCAATCGTACAACTGGACAGACGCAAAATTACTTCTGCCAAGAGCGCTTTGATATTTCGAATCTCTGAGCGAACCCTGAAGATTCCAAGTTGAGTTACTCGAAAGGAAAGTCTCTACAGGATTCTCAAGAAACAATATTTTGTATTCTACTATACAATCATTAGGAATGTCAGAAATAACCATTGGGTGAGAAAAATAAAACTCGACCCATCTCATACAGCGTAAAAGTTGCAGCAACATTGCAATATTGCAGCAACGTTGCAGCAATGTTTCTGTAATTTTTATGTTGTATAGAATAAAGCCGAAATTAATTGTTAGTCTAGATTTTTGTTAGCGCACGACTAATTCACTTTAGCTCTATAGATCGAGTTTTCTGGCACCCGATGACTATCTTTCATGTTCCTAACCTAACTTACAATAAAAAAAAAAAAAAAAAAAAAGAATTTCTTGAAAATTCTGTGGGTGCAGAAAAAACAAATCTCCTCCTTTCAACCCCATACGGCATACAAAGTTGAAAAAACGTTGTTGCGACGTTGGAACAATGTAGCAATATTGTTGCAACTTCTGTGCTGTATGGGACGTGATACGTCGAATATGTCAAATAATACAACCTCCAATATTTTATCTAGCCATTTTGGCATAGTCCTGTTGCGTTCCGAGTGACTATTCACGCACTCGACCGTACAAGGAGACAATATCTTGGCAAGATTGTACCTCGGCGAATCGTCTCGGTATTCGAATCGCGGTATCGTCTCTTTGCAGAATCATCATAAATCGCCCCATATTGAAACTTCGATATATCCTTTTCCCGGGACGATGCATGTCCACCCCCTTCTCCCTTCTCTCCCCTCTCTCTCTCTCTCTCTCTGCAGCTCCGCGCGAGAGGATACGAGGATCCCCGACCTGTTCAAGCCCATCGGGATATACTGGTGATGCTCGTTCAACGAGAGATAAGAACATAGCGATTACATATAAAACCAACTAAAATTGTTATTGCGGTACTGTATAGAGTGGCACGTAACATTTTAATATAAAACTCCCCTCTCGTGATGCATAGTGATCGCGTATAGTGATTAATTGCAGTCGATTACTGTATACAATCGTAGTATAATGATTCGCCGCTTACATCGCTTTACATATACTTAACGATCTCCCCCTCTCTCTCTCTCTCTCTCTCTTTCTCCAGGCCAAGTTCAATCAACATCGTCTCCATCTTCCTGCCTTCCTTCCTTCTCTCTTATGCGAGTAACTTTACATTCTCTTTTGCGCAAGCGAACGCGCTTTCGAGCGGGACTAACAATAACTCGCGCAAGTCGTACGACGCTATTGATCCACCGACGCCCGCTTTCTCCGAGACAAAATCAAATATCGTTCGAGTCATTCTTCAACTGCGACACACCACCTCCTCGAGATCCAAGTCAGATCATCGCTCGCTCATCGAGTACGAATCGACGCGTCTCGGGCACCGATGGACCGCACGCAACACGCACGTGCCTCGATAAAAGTCCTTCATTCGGAGGATAACCCGAGGAGGCACCGCGAGGACTCACGAGGACCTGGCGGCTTTAACTCAAAATTCCACTTAACCTTCATCCAGATAGAAGAGCCTCAAAGAGGCTCTTTTATTAAAAATCAAATGCAATTAATGCGATATACACAGGATGTATAAAAAGTACTGGGATGGCGGAATATCTCGAAAAGTAAGCACTTTAGAAAAAAGTGTCTCAGACAAAAGTTTTATGGCTTCAAGAGGGGCATAAAACAATTATATCATTTTGTTTACAGATGGCGCCATTTTTGAGATATTCACCGATCATTACTTTTATTAAATGGAAATCCCAATTTTTTATTGCATCATCCTTTTCTACCAATTAATTCGGACAACTTTTGTCTGAAACATTTTTTTATTCGCCAGATTTTTTTTTGAGATATTTAAGGAAAACTTGGTAACTCTTTCAATATTTAACTTACGACATCTCGCTAACTATTTGTTGGGAGAAAAAGTGATACTAGATTTTTTTACTCTATTTAGTCTCAAAAATATATTGTGCACGATAGTGCTCTAATTTTTGTTAATTTATCAGATCTTTGGAAATCTCAAAATTATCAAATTAATAAAAGTCGAGGCGCTATTGTAACGATATATTCTTGAGAGCAAATAGAGTAAAAAAGTCTAGTACCACTTTTTCTTTCGACAAATAGCGAGATACCGTAAGCTAAAAAAGTTATCAAGTTACCTTAAATATCTTTACCTTAAATATCTCAAAAAATATTTGGCAAATAAAAAAATATTTCAGACAAAGGTTATTCAAATTAATTGGTAAAAAAAAGTGATAAGAGATTCGGATTTCCATTTAAGAAATGCGAGATGATATCTCGAATGTGGCGCCACCTGCAATAAAATGATATAGTTGTTTTATGTCTCGCTTGAAACCATACAACTTTTGTCTGAAATTTTTTCTTTTAAATGCTTAGTTTTCGAGATATTTCGCCTTTTTATACACCCTGTATAATAAGTAGCCTATCATATATAGCGTAACGATTTTTTAGATACTTCCGACGATTTAAAAAAAAAGGTTGCAATATAAATTTTCAACTGGTTCACATGTGGGCTACAACTCGCAATAAAAAGAAATTTGAAAAAAAAATTTGTTCCTAAGGAAGTAAAGAAGAAGTATCTTGAATTTTTTAAACGGCACCGTGCACTTTTTTGCACAAGTCGAATTCAACGCACTATCGCACTAAATGTGATACACTGTGTAAAAAAAATGCATAATACCATTAAACAAATTCCAGACGATCTTGATTTTCTTATAAAAAAAATATTTTCTTATCTTCTGCTATTGCAAGTTGTAGCCTACACGAAGCGGTCGGGAATTCATTTTACGATCTTCTCCTTGAACCGTCGGAAGTGTCTAAAGAATCTCGAACATTCCAGTATATTAACGTTGCTGTTTTACTAAATAAATAAATTATTATAATAAAATTAAAGGAAGCAAAATGTTTGAGAGCTATTAATTTTCTTGTCCGTTTTTCGTTGTATAAAATCATTCTCTATCCTGATAAAGCTCAAGTTCCTCTCGCTCTGAGTCTCCGTCGGTAGCCTAGTCAGCTGCCTCCCCTCTTCGTTCGTCCACGATTTATAGTTTTCAAGTACGTACTTGCAAAGTTCTTATAAAATATTTATTATCATAGAATCCATTACGCGCGCGCGACGGGGTTGGTGGCTCGGGATCGCTGTGACCGCATACGATTTCGTGGGATCGAGGGCCTCGAGGGGTCAAAGTGTCCTTGGACACCTTCGGACGATCCGCCTAATGACCTGTCGCCACAATCGACAATTACAACAACCGCCTGTCGTGCGTCGACGTAAAATCATCATCGTGTCATTGCACATTCCTGCTTTCCTCGGGGGAGGTTTGTGCTCTCTTCTCCTTTCACGCACGGGGAAGGATACGAGGGGACGCTTGCTGCGAGAGCTCGCCCCGAAATTCAGAACCACCGGGGGGACCGCGGAAGCGCCGGGGGACCGTCGTGTTCAATAAGAAGAAAAGAAAAGGAGCGGAATGAGAGAACGAAGTTTACGGTCTGCTTTCCTCCCGCAACATTTCGCTCAACTTCGACAACGCCCTGCCGTCGCTCAACGGCCAACTGCACCAACTTGTGTGCACCGATAGACTATGTGCTGCCAGTTGTCAATCTTAAGAGACTCGTCAAACAATTCGTCACTGACGAGGGGCATGCGTTATTATGTGCACCGAAAGCCCGTGGTTGCAGCGAAGAGAGAAAAAGAGAGAGAGAGAGAGAGAGAGAGAGAGAGAGAGAGAGAGAGGGAGAGAGAGAGAGAGAGAGAGGGAGAGAGAGAGAGGGGAGAGAAAGAGAGAGAGAGCGAAAGATGAGATCAGATGTAATTAAATAATTAATTGTGTGACAATAAATAACCGTGTGAATAACTTACATCATCCCTTCCCTGCGTTTACATTACAAACCTAACAGTGATACTCAGCTAGACGAGCAGTCGCGATTTCTCAAAGAGAAATGAGACGAACAGACAGACAGATAGACAGACAGACATAAAGAGAGACACGGCGCGGTCAAGTGTGATGGCACTCGACGAACTGGGATTATCGGTGCAACCAAGCCTGCGCGAACTCATCTCCGGCTACTCCTATCCACAACACGCGGGAAGTGCGGTGAAGTGAAGGTGAACAAGTGACATGGCACGATAGCTTAATAAGAAAACGCGGCCAAGAAGAAGAAGACCGAGAACAAGAGAAGGAGAAGAAGGAGGAGGTAGAGAAAGAGACAGAGGGACACGTAAACGAACGACCTCGCAAGAGGGAAAGTGGTCGGACGGGTCGTGAAGCTTGGGGTTGCAGCGCGTGGGAGGAAAGACGCCGGGAGCTTCGCCTCCTTTTCTCGCCGTTACGTATTTACAAATCTGTCAAGGCTCCGGTTACGATAATTCGTCGTCACACGCCGCGTGCGATTGCGAATCACACCAGGCGCCACGCGTGTATTGCACTGACCAAGTCGTCGTCGTCGCCGCGTCGAAGCCGCCGAAGTTCGTTCAGCGATCTTTCTCGCCCAGGCGGGGAAGTCCTCCGCGCTCTCCGCCTCCTCCCTCCTCGGTCACTCGCCTCTCTACTTTTGCTATTCGCATGCCCGCTGTAAGGAAAGAAAGCAGCCGACGAACTTCTGCGCTCCGCTATGGAGTCGCGATGATGACTCCGACGGTTTCGTTCTCTTTCCGTCTCGCTTCCTTTTGCTCTTCAATCCGCGGCGACGAGCCGGCTTCGGATTATTCTCTCTCTCTCTCTCTCTCTCTCTCTCTCTCTCTCTCTCTCTCTCTCTCTCTCGCACGCAAGCTAAACAACGCGGAATGTCATGAGGCAGACGCTCGCGGTAATCTACGGGAACATCGTCGAAGAGCGCACTCTTCGCGGTAATCACGCGACAAAGACGCCGGCCAACTCGTCCTGGCTCGCTGCCAATCGCTCGGCGCATGACGGATACACGTGTGGTCATTACAATCGCAGAGTCTCGCAGTGTAGTCGCAACGATACGCCATATACGCCGTATGTGGTCGTTACATTAAAATAAGAATATAAAATTAAAGATCTATCAACAATTGTACACATCCGTAGAAAAGGTCCGTGAGTAAAAAAAGGTCTCCTCTGGGGGGAATCTAACGCAATCGATCGACTTTCGGGCGTTTCGTTCTTTACGGCAGAGTCGACGAGTCTTCCTCGAGGAGGACCCTTCGTTCACACTAAAGTCGGACTGAAGTTTCGTCGAAAAAATTTTCTCGCTCCCATCGTGGACGCATTCGACGCACGGAGCATCTCCCGTTAAACTCGAATCGGTTCCCCTTCACCCCCCCCTCTCTCTCTCTCTCTCTCTCTCTCTCACTAAAAAGCCGCTTCAATTAATCTAACCTCGACGTCTCTAAACGTAGGCCAACGAAGGACGCTGATTTTTGACTCGCCGATAAACGCTCGGAGGAAAGGTCGACAGCCCTAAAGTCGATATCGCGTGATATACATTCTACCATTCCTATCCGCAAACTCGTGCTAGTCCCGTAATTGTACGTGATTTGTGCGGACGAGGTTGTGAGATAATTGAATGCCGGAGATCAAATCAAATCTTCCGAGTGGCGGTTAAGGCTTCTTCGCGCCGCGGCTCTCGATTGATCGCGTCAGAAGCGGGGAGATGCGACGCTTTTGCGGAACATGACGGCCAGCTGATGTGTCGCAAGCAGATCGAGCAGATTTCTGCGCACCAGTCCGGACACTTTCCTTTCGCTCTAACGGTCGAGGTGAGTAGAACCTCTTCACGATCTGCTTCTTCAACTCATCTCTCCTCGTGATCCTCTGCAGAAAGTTTCGCATTTAATCTCCCGTTAGACTCCAGTCGTGTCTCTTCTCGTCATGTCTGTCTCGTCCATTCGACCGTTATTCATTGATTGTTGCAGCGGAAAAGTGTTCAGACTACTTCGCAGGTCCGCCCAGTCGACAGCAGGTGTCATTTCATAAATATGTCTTCTCATCTCATCTGAAATATCTGACCCGCTTTAGCACGAGAAGAAGCGCATCAATCAGGTCTAAGATGCATCATCGAGGGTTAATTAGTCTATATAATATTTATGCAAATAAGCGCGTAAGTAAATCACTGGACTGTCTGAGGATCAGTCGCGACAGCACGCGATGAAGAAAAAAGAGAAGAAACTCACTTCATCATACTCTTGCGAGAGTTTTCGGGGCGCGTTTTCCCGCTTCCGACGTCGTGAGTCAACATGGCCGCGGCGACTTGGTGAGAATCGTAGAAATGTGCTTACGAGGGACCCGTCGTGAATCTGCGCGAGTCGTAGCCGCCATCGCAGGCGACGAAACTTTTCGTTGTTGCCGTCGATGAACTCCGCGCGCTGGAGATTACACTCGCCGACACGTGCGCGATGTATAAGGAGACTTCAGCTCAAAATGTGCGCAAAGCCGCAGGAGATACTCGTGTGCGTGTCGCAGCCTGACGCGATCCGGAACCGCCCGCAACTGGCCGTGCAAGACTCGAGACTAACGCGAAACTACGCCACCTTGTTTCTCTTCCTTCTTACGCGCGCAAATCAGTTCAACTCTCCGCACGCTTCGTCGCTTCGAGAACATCGCGCCGACGTCACGTGCGAACAGGATCTCTCTCTCTCTCTCTCTCTCTCTCTCTCTCTCTCTCTCTCTCTCTCTCTCTCTCTCTCTCTCTCCCCCTCTCTCTCCTTCTTCCTCACCCATCGTGATCCCACGGCTCGAGAGGAAACGGTCATATGTACAAAACGTAGAGCGCTCGTCCTTCAATCCTCTGAGCCGCAGGATAACGCGGCTGGTCGCGGTCCAGCCAAGCACTCTGTCGCGCGTCTTGCTTTCTCTCCGGAGAGAGTACTCTTCTACGCTGGGCTTCAACACGACTTCAGTATCCTTCCTTGAGTGAAAGGACTCGTTTCTGAAAAGTCCCCAGGTGTCCTTATTGGACAGCCGCTACTGCGTTGGGAAAAGGGCTCAACGAGAGAACTCGAACTCTGGCGATTTTCCACGAACAAGTTCTCTCATTGGACCATCAGAGTTGCGTTCTGAAACAAAAGGAGACTCCCAAACCGGATTTGAAACTCAGCGTACAGTCGCGGGCAGGAAGATAGTTCGCTGCACTTGACGAGTCTTGGGCGAGAAATCCTGCCATTGAACAAGATTGACGCGCCCTGAGACTCGCGTAGAAAACTTTCTTCTGCCTTTCTGTCCTCGGATATACACCGAGTTTCAAAACGGTCTGAAGAGCCTCTCGCTTCGAGATGCAACCGACGGTCCGACGAGAGAACCTGTTTCCCAGCGATTCCCAGAGGCGAAGTCCTCTCATTGGACACTCACTGCGCGCCGAAGGATCCAAAGCCGGGAGAAGGTTAGCCGTTTCGAAGCCAGTGTAGAGAGAAAATAGCCAACCTGTGCTAGCAGAAACCAAACGCTCGAGTGTGACTGTCGCGGAGAATGGCCGGTTGGTCGGTCGAGTTTTCCTTCGCCGCGCAAAAATGCAAAAGGATCAAATGCCGGGGTCTACGGTGCTCTACAGGCGCTTGGTCGATGCGTCGCAGAGTCGGACAGCCAGCCGCGAGCAAGCCGCGAAATTTCATCATCGACCTATCATCGACCTTGTGATTCGTCATCGGCTTTCTTATACGCCGACCGTTCTACCTCGTTTATGCGTCATACACGTACGTAATGTGATACTAATTCACGAATGTGATTTTTCCAAAAGAAGAGGCTTCGCTGGCAGTTGGGGGCTTCTCAGGCGCATGAGTGTATCGGGTTTGCTCATGCGTGAGCTCTCGCTAGCGGCAACACTCGCTGCGCCCTCTGTCGGAGCGCGTGAACATCCCTCGATACACACAGTAGAACTCCATCTCGTTCGGGATATACGTTCGTTCTCGACGTACTATCGTTGCTCTCCCGTCGCTTCGAATGATTCGCTCTAATAACGAGTCTCGCGTCCAGATAATTAGCTAATCAGCGTGTCTCTGTGCGAGGCTGGACGCGGCCGTAGAATGAAACAAGCCTGCGCGGCACCGCGGAGCCGTTCGGCAAATCCAGAAGCTGGATTCTGTTGTGGGAAAGGTAAGCGAAAAAGAACCCCGCGATGAGCGCAAGCGAGGTGAAACGAAAGGGTCCAATGAGACGTACGCGAGAGTCAAGGGAAACGAGGGACGAGGGAATGTTCCTATCGAGCTCTCTCCGAAGTCGCTCGTCCCATCATACTCGCTGCGATATCGTCCTCGCGAATGGAGTTCCACTGCAGCCTCAGCACGTCGTGCAAGGACTGTCGACGGGGAGTAGGAGGGCGGAGGGCGGAGGGAATGGCCTTGTCGCGCGCACCATTTCACATATTATACGCCACGTAGATCGGGTCGAGCTGGTCCGCCAGGAAGCCGTCGCGCAGATGCATTCGCTGCTTCTCGCCGCGCGAATTGATGGGTACCACACCGGGGTCCACTACCACCACCACGCCTACCACAAGATGATGCTCCTCGAGCACGGCGCTCGTCACCAGAGCCACCAAGTCGAGGGCCTCGCTCTCGCTGCCATCCAGTTCTACCACTACCACTAGGAGGTTGGTCCATGTGAATACAGCGCTGAAAGTACAACCAAATGTTCCGTCACTGAGACAACGAGATTTCAGTTCAACGAGAGAAATCATCGCATCTATCTAACTCTGAGGTACAAATCGCTTGAGAGTAAGAGGGAAAGAAGCCTTGAAGAAGCATGAGTCAAGTCGCTTTAAACAAATCTTGAAATTTCGGCGTTTTATTTTGGAAATTTTTGAGTCCTTCTAATAGAGAGATGTCAGATAGATGTAAATAGCGTATCGAGAGTTTGATTTAAAAAATTAGCTTTAGCAGGAAAGAATCAATAGATTTTGTTACGAAGCATTAGAAAATTGATGTCAAGTTGTTTTTATCTGAAGATTAAATTCATCAGCCGCATAAGATTATGATTGATCGACAGCAATATATTCTTCATTTATCATTAAGAGCAAGCAGATTAATTAAAAAAAGGAAACAATGTACAAAAATTGCAAAGATACACAAATTGCACATGTAAAGGGAAATATAACTGATTTAGTAGTTTTTATCAAGACGATTATTTGATTTTTCGAGAAAATTATTTCATAACTTTCTTTTCAAAATTATAACTAAATAAAGTCCAAAGCGTTCTATCGACATACGACATACATAACATAATGTAAACGACATACATAGGTTCATCAAAATTGTTTTATTTTTAATAATATGTCAGAGATGAGAGATAACACGCTGAAAATTTCTGCACGCGTGTCATTTCCAAATAAAACGACATCTACATGAAAGAATACTTTAGGTTATACTTGCAAAATGTTCCAAACACTATGCTTCTCTCTTGATGATCAATCAAGCAATGCGCATACGCAATCATGCGCTGATCATTGACTTTGGAATCTTTTACATGTTCTAGCATGTTCTAGCGACCTGAAGAATTATTTCATACAAGAGTTCCACGGCAAATGAATTCAGAAATTTTTAATATATGCCAAGCCTGAAGGGTTAATGAAATGAATTCGTCAGTGAGATGTCATTGAATGAAAAAATTCAACCAAATTTGAATTTAACTCTTAGAATCTTATCATCAAAGAAAATCACGTTAATGCTATCATGAATGAAATTTCACCCCAGTATATATTCTTTTTATTTTAAAAATCAAAAAAGTCAAACAAACGCGATTAAATGTTTTATTATCATTGAATATTAGATGAAAAGTAGGAAAGTTATTATTTGCAGCGGATAATTCAACATTCGACAAGACGATCAAAAGAAAATTCGCAGGGGGTGCAAATTTTACCCATGGTAGCCTTTAAGGATTAACTTACCACTCCGCGATTTTCTTGTGACACCGCATGACGCTGTTCTCGATGTCTATCGGATGGTAGCGCATACCCCGCAGCAATATGGCCTCATCGAGGGCGCCGACAACGAATACGGCGTCGTGCAGCTCCGGGTCGTTCGGCACGAGGTCCGCCTCGGCCGCGGACGTAGTGTCACCGGGTACGTCGCTGATGACCGATTGCTGAACGCTCTCGGTTCTCCTGAGGAAGCCGAGATAGCCGGTTCTCGCGTAGACCTCGTTCGTATTGCCGGTAACCAACCGTGCATTAAAGTGATCGGCGTAGTCGCTCTCGTCGCCGTAGATCGTGAAGTAGCCACTGGCGTTGTGCGACGACTGTACCCAGATCTCGCCCAGGTGTGAATCGCCGCACTGACCCTTGGTCTCGGGGTTCGCGATGATCACTTTCACGCCAGGTAGCAGTTTACCCGACTCCATCAGGCACAGGGAGTGCGGGCTGCCGCGCTCCACCAGAGACACCCGGTCGTTGCGTAACGCACGGAGATCCACGTACACCGTTGAAGGCTCCGGACTCGATGCACCCTGTCGAGAAATTCAAATTAGAGAATTTTTTACTTCTAATTCTGATTCTAATTCTCGAATGAGAAATTTCGAATTAGTTGTGCCGTGCGGTATGTTTCGACGTTTGAACTCGAGGCTCCGTCATTCTTCGAACTCTGTTCAAAGATTCGGGCTATCGATGCAGAACCAATTTCTCTCGATAGAACTAATCGCGAGGAGTACAAAAAATTCCGTGCAATTAATATCACTCGAGTGCTCGAATATTTATATATTTTCGACTTTCAAATAAAATGTCTCGCAGCTTGAGAAATTTAAAGCTTCGAAGATCTCAAAAAATATAAATCTACATATTTAACATTAGTTATCCTATAAATAATTTTGCACATTTCGAATTTTAAGTTAAGAAAGGTATAAAATTAATCCAGGATACATTTATATTTACCACCAGAATTGATCGCGCTTAAGCTTTACCATTTAGCGCTACCATTTTACCATAAATTTCTCAATTTTTGTAACTTCCAGCCTCGCTTCACTTCCATTTCTATAAAATTACACTTTAATAAATCTCTGTGATTTCGAAATTCTGTCAATTACTGTCACATGCATAAATGCTTGCGGCTAGTATCGGTCGCGATTCTATCTGACATAATTGAAAATAGAGATTCGTATACGAGATGTAACGACGAGCGCTCCAATTAACGTTATTACCTGTAAGCAAATGGCAGTGTTTACTCTGCAACCGAACGAGGTGGAGACGGCGCGTGGGCTCAGACCGAGGGCTGAGAACAGTTTGCTGAAGCTAGTCGTCAATGCTATCCGCGGCCTTTCCTCGGCGACGACGACGCACGTTCTTACGCAAGCCAGACTGACGCCTCGCGCTTTGAGCGTATGCACCGACGAGCCGAGCCCCTTCGTGCACAACTCCATTACACCGTACGAGCAAAACGTGTCTCGTACTCTGGACTGGCTCACCGCGGACAGCCAGAGCGCGGGATTGGCCTCCACCTGATATCAATAACGACAAAATAATAGTAAAACAGTTGCTTTAACAAGCCGACCACGTACATACACACGGGAAGAATTTTATAAGAAAAATTGTTAGAAGATTTCGCGACCAAGGAAGATTTCGACATTCTGCCTTAATTTATTGTCCACCTGTTTCATACGTGCTGTTTATATCTTAACACCTGAAAAAATTACTATCGAACTAAATATATATATTCAATATCAAGTATTAAACTGTAAAAAAATTTAATATACTCCTTCGCAACTCTACTGACAGTTTACTTCAACTAATTGTTAAAAAACACGATGAAACTGACAAAGAATCTGCATGAAAGAAGCTACCGTCACAGAAACAAAGTCACTCGAATCGACCGAAATATCCTCTTGCAAAGATTAAGAATCCACCAAAAGTTTAAATTAAACGTTCACTCTTGCGATTCCGATTGGCAATTTCGCGTCGACTGAATTTTCACTCGGCCTAGTGAGATTCTCTACGTCAAGAAATTTAAGACACACAATAATTTCCTATTGATAAAAACTCACCATTGGAAAAAAATTATTTTTTATTCCTACATTTCTATTAAAAGATGATAACTTAATGATTTTGAAATTTCACAAGACACTATTGTAACAGCATATTCTTGAGACTAAATAGAATAAAAAAAGTTTCTAGTATCACTTTTTCTCCCGATAAATAGTTGCCGAGATATCGTAAGCCAAAAGTCATCAAGTTTTCCTTAAATATCTCAAAAAATATCAGGCAAATAAAAAAATGTTTCAGACAAAAGTTGTCCAGATTAATTGATAGAAAAAGATGATGTGATAGAAAATTGGGGGCTTCCATTGAAGAAAAGTGACGATTAGTGAATATCTCGAAAGAGGCGCCATCTGCAAACGAAATGATATCGCTATTTTATGTTTCCTTTCAAAACAAACAACTTTTATCTAAAACATTTTTTCATCCGACTACTTTCTGCGATGTTAATCGTGGAGTACCATTAAAATAGAACATCTTGTATGAAAGAAGACACTATTTTCTTCTTGTGAAAGTAAGGATAAAGGTTCCTTTGTATTGAACAAAGGTTGCGAGGAATTTTTTACCTCGGAGGGTGGTATCAGTATGGAATGATGTCCGCTGTATATGCTGCTGAGACACCACAAGGCGAAGCCGAGCCCTGAATACGGATCCAGACAGAGAGCGATGTGTCTGGAGGGATAAAGTTCACACGCCAGCTTCATGGCGCGGCACAGCGAGGTGACAGCCGCGTGGGACATCTTGATGCCGGCAAGCATGCCCGTCGTAGAGACGCTGAAGTCCAAGTAGGCCAACATCTCCGCGGTGGGCGCTCGATACATTACCGGCAGCTTCTTCTTTGGCATGTCGTCCATATCCAGGATCATCGGCCAACTCTTTACGTCGACCACGTTATTCGCTTCCTGCACACACAGGGGAAAAGAACAATGACGTCAGTCGATGAACGACGTGCGCATTAACCAAGGTGAATGTTCCAATTAGCACACAGCGTCCCAATTTATAACGATTACACTCGTTTTATAAATCCTTCATAAATCTTAGGTCCATCTTCCTCCTAAACATGCATTCTTCCTCTAAAAATCTTACATATTATCAGTTTGTACATCAGTTTGGAATACAATTAAAAGCCATTAAATGCTGGAATGTTGCGATTACAAAATGGTTTGAACAGTTGCTCGCCGACATCTTAGAAGTTGATGGTCGACATTAGGGGCTTTGTTCTGGACGTACAGCGAGTGTGACTGATACACTTCAAAATCAGAAAGGTAAATATTCAGCGGTAGCTGTATGTATACCAGAATATGGATTCTGATATCTATTTGCTAGATTGTAGTTATGTCCCTTAACTTCTTTACCAAAGCCAAGTTGTCAGCGAAAAAATCAAAACTAAACTGTCATACTACCAAATGACTACTTCAACTATCTCTGAGAAAATATTTCAAGTAAATTATTGGGTGTACAAATTAGTTCGGTCCGTTTTCAAAAGATGGCTCCGGCTGTTATGAATGGTTCATAGTGACTGCCGATTTTGGCGGTTTCAGAGAGGTTAGACATCTGCCAATAATATTCAGTTTATGTCGCTTTGAGTTTCATACAAAAACCTTGCTTTTTACAGTGTTGAAAATGTCGAATTTTGTGTTAACCAAGCATCATTTGCGGGAGGTTTTAATTTTCTGCTTTAATTGAAAGAAAAGTGCAGCTGAAGCCCATCGAATGCTTGGAAGGCCCATCGAATGCTTTGGTAGGACTGATATCATGTAGGTGGTTTCGACGTTTCAGGGATGGAGATTTCAATGTCGAAGACAAGCCTCGCTCTGGACAGCCAAAAAGATTCGAGGACAAAGAATTAGAGGCATTACTCGAAGAAATTCAGAGTCAAACGTAAGAGGAGCTTGCAGAATCATTGGGAGTGACTCAACAAGCCGTTTCCGTATGATTGAGACATGGGAATTATTCAAAAACAAGGAAATTAGGTGCCTTATGAACTGAAACCGAGACACGTTGAAAGGCATTCTTCATGACAACGCTCGGCCTCATGTCGCAAAAGTCGTAAAAAAATATTTGGGAACGCTCAAATGGGATGTTTTACCGCACCCGCCGTATTCTTCGGACATTGCTCCTTCTGATTACTGGTTGTTCCGAAGGATGCAGCACGATTTGGCAGATCACCGGTTCACTTCTTTCGCAGATATCGAAAACTGGCTCCAAACTTGGATCGCCTCAAAAGACGAGTCATTTTTTCGAGATGGAATTCGAAAATTGCCTGAGAAATGGGAGAAAGTAGTAGCCAGCGATGGAAAATACTTTAATTGATCTGTTCATTCGTTTTGTTTTGAAATAAATACATCTTTTAACACAAAAAACGGACCGAACTAATTTGCACTCCCAATGAAATCTTTCTATAAATTATAAAAAGATATGAAAATTGGGTAAAACTTTAGAATAGGGCCTTTTCCGAATTTTGATATATTTTTGCTACTTGCTGGACAAAAATCTTTATTGTGACTACGACAATGATAATCAATGGGGGAAGCCCGAAAAAAACGTTACCGACCTAGTTTTTTCGGATCTTATAAAACTCTGAAGGAAAAATGCATCCAATTTAAACTATTGAGTAAAAGTATAAAAAACTCAATGAACTTTAATAAACCAAAGACATAAACTATTCTCCACTATAATTTTGACTTTATAATATAAATTTGTGCTTTTGATTAAAGCAGAGCATGATTGTGAATAATGCTCTGCTTTATTTTGCTTGTAATTTATGATACATCCTACCTTGCGTAGGGATCTTGCTAATCTTTTATCTATTTTCATCAGTATCCATTTTTAGTATATCGTAGACTCATCTGTTTAGTAAGGCAAAAGATTCGAGTAACAACTGCGAACGGTATTTAATCAATATAAAATCGATATTTAAAATTTTAAATATATGGAATAAAGTTTTTTCCTATAAAGATTTTAGTCCCCTCCCCCTTAATATATATGTAAAACTTTGTATACATGTTTTTTTACAGCTAGTTTTGTAAATTACTGAAAAAGAAAACGTAGTTTTTGGTATAATAGTACTTCTGAATATTTACCAAAAAAATTGTTCAAGAAATAAGTGGGTAACCCATTTTTCGGGCTCCCTCAATTGATTATCACTGTCGGAGTCACAACAAAGATTTTTACCATGAGAGTAGCAAATAAATATCAAAATTCGGAAAAGGCCTTATTCTAAAGTTTTATCGAAAATTGAAATATTCCAGTTTTTTCCGGCAAAACCAGCTTTATATACTTAGTTTAACACGTGTGCTGCCATTCGGAACATTCACCTTAGCTGAGTGATAAATCAATCGTCCTCGATTATACCTTCGTTTTCAACAGCTTCAAGATGTTCTGATTGGTCAGCACGAGAACGGACTTGCTGACGTCCACGATCATGCGAACGGTCGGCAAAGTCGTCTGCAGATTTTGCGGATGAGGCGGCCTGATGGTCACTGGCACAGCGCCGACATATAAACAGCCGTAAAATGCGCATATCAGATCGGTGCCGGGTGGGAAGATGAGAGCCACATGGTCCCCTGTATTGACTCTCCCACGATCGAGGAGCAGATTGCCGATCCTCTCGGCCTTCTTGTGCAATTGCGAGCAGGACAACGAGGTGGCCACGGCCCCTTTCGCGTTCAACGACGTAAATATCACATGGTCCGAGGTGCTGACGGCGCGCCACCGTAGGATTTCAGAGATAAACTGGTACTAAAACACAGTTGAACGATGAAGCGCTACGACGAGATCCTGCTTCCTTCTTTTAACACGAGTCAACGTGGACGGAGAGAAAAGGTGACTTTTCATAAAACGACAAGTCTTGTCGGACTGTCACGAACCTTTTTGGCATTGTCGCTGTCCTCGTCCAGGACACCCATGTCTCGTCCCTGCGCCGAGGCCAGTCTGTTACCCTGGACGATGTTCCCCACCATAACACTCGCCGGGCCAACGTCTGCAACAGAATCCCCCGCTACACGCCCCCGCACCACTCCGTTAGTAAACCAACACAAACACTCAACCCAATAATGAGTAGCTCACACACTCTCCCCTGACTGAGGCCGGAAAATCAAAGCTAGAGCAATCTGGTTCGCCAGACGGAGCCGACAATACAAGCGTTCCATCAACGGCGCTTTCTTACACACATGTTTGGAAAGCGTGGGCTCGTCGTGATCATATCGAGGTCCGAGGTTCCGGGAATCCTTAGACAGATACGTCAGTACGGTCTACGATTTTCTGGCGCCCTGGATTTCAAGAATCCCAAGCCACGACACGTGGATCTTTTCGGATTGTGCGAGTCATCGGGAGTCCGTGACACTCTCCTCGCCGCCCTCAAATCCTTGAATTCACGGGCCTTTCGCGCTGACGCGAATCTTTGGATCCACGGATGCTTGAATTCCCGAACGATAACTGGACTTGCGAATTATACAATACCGCTACAGTCCACAGATCCCAGAGTGGCTGCACGTTGCGTCAAAACGCTAACGTAAGGCAGACAAGAGAAATCATAGAGAAAAGCATCGAGCTCTGCGACAAGCTACGAAGCTGCGTGTCTTACCCGGCAAAACGAGAACGGCTAAAAGTGAAAAGCAGAACCTCTTGCTGATTGCTAAAATCAACGATGTTTGCGTAAAGTACTACGGGATGCTCGGGACTCAGCCAAAAGAAAGAGGGACAACCAAACGGTGTAACATGCTAAGCGTAATTAAACGTGGGAGGGACTTGTTAATACAATCCCGAGCATGCGGTAACGTTGTGTCTCATCCTCACGAATCAGACGAATCCTATTTTTCAGTCTCAACACCTCTCGAGAAATTGTGACACGACGTTACAGCTTTGCTCCATTTCTGGTGTCTCAAAAGTAAAATTTACTCAAAGTACCTGATTGACGTGAAGAGATGTGTATATTCGCGATACCTCGCGAATGCTTCATCGAAATAACGAATTATTATTATAAGGAAACGCATACGATGCGCACAGTCTAAATCCTACCGTTACGAATTTTAAACTTTTCTTTTTTTTGAGACACGCCGGATGGGTAAACATAACGCTAGACAAGTCTGAAGCCTATCAACAATTTCGTACAGATGCATGGACATTCAAGTTCCTTGGTGCTAATAAGGATTCTAAAGAGAGCGTAATTTGTGATTACCAGCGCTTTTTCCGCTACTCCTTCCCCTATCTCTTTCATTCTCACTCGCTTTCACTCCCTCACTCATTCTTTTCCTCCGTTTCTTCACTACTACTACCACTGCCTCTTCCGACAGTTCGTACGCAGCACAATCCAGAAAATTTGTTCATTCTTCCCAAATTGTATTCACTGCAATCACCCCGATCGTTCAAATATATCAGCTAATTATACTATTAATTAAATACATGATCAGCTAATTACCATATAGTTATTCCACATATAAGTTGAATACAATGTTGGTGCCAAACGTTAGGAGAAATCTTATGGATTGCTGCATATTTTTAATCACTAATTATATCGCTTATATTAAAGATTCTCTACCGCATATACTTGCTGGCGTTTGCACGATTCTCGTTACTTAGGTTTGCGTCGATACCTGTCAGTCATCCCAATAGATATCGACGCGATACCCATCAGTGAACTTTGCTTCAGTTACCTGAATGCACTTCGCGCGGTTTCGGTAGGTTGGTGACGCAAGTGTGCGGACAGAGCAGCACGTTAGCCGGGTGCAGGGCGCCTTCGAGGAAGCGACGTTTTGTCTCCGACAGATGAATACCGCCCAGCGGCGTCTTGGGCAGGTAGTTAGGTGGTACCAGGGCGAGACAGTATATTCCTACCGCGTGAATCGAGTCGACCGCTTGCAGCACTCGGGACATCCACTGGAAGCTCTGCGCGAACAGAGAACTTTTCTCAGGATATACGTCGAACGATTTGTCACAGTCGCACATTCATACCAAGGAAGTACTGGAAGAAAAATTGCGACCCTCTCTCTGTGAGACAAGACGACAATATTTAATTCCAAAACGTACCTCTTCCTCGCTACAATCCGGTCGTTGCTCGGCGACGACGCATATCCTCTCGTCTCTGAGAACCCTCACACTAAAAACGGCGATTCTGCCGCGGTAGATGAACTTCATCGGCTCGACCGCCAGCACAGTGGCGATGATGTCGTCAGCGTTGTGTTTCCTACCAGTCACCGTCATCAGACCGTCGCGCGAACCGCAGACGAAGACGAGTCCTCCGGGACCGAGGAAGCCCAGCAAGCCAGAGCGCGTGTACTCCACGTCGCCGAGGGGTGTACTGTCGGCCTGCAATGGCGATACTTTAAAGGTGTTGTTGGTGAGCCCTTGCAGGCCCCAATATTGGCTGCCGGTCGCCGCACTGTGCACGCAAATTTCCCCGACTTCGTCCGTCTTGCAGATGAACGGCTGGCCCTCCATCTTGATGACAACTACTATACCTGCAAAAAGTATAAGAACAGATCGTTTCATTAATCGGCTTATGGTTAGACCCGAGTCTGACTCGAGGTAAGATTTACTACTTTCAGGTCCGCCATTTTTGATCCACCATTTTGAATTTTGCAACAACCTCAAGTTTGAAATCAGAACGTTCGAAAACTATTATAAAACATGAAAGTAAATATTCTCCTCCACAGAAAAAATTTAACCATTTTGATGCTAATTTCTGTCAATAAATAAAACCGCAAGAAGGTTAAAGATATTAGAAATTACGAGATCATTAAGAAAACTGAGGATGGGGAAGGTAGTTTGAAAACTAACGCGTCAGTTACAGGTACTTATCGTAAAAGGTAACTTGTTACTCGCTATTGAGTCGAAAAAAATAACTCGTTACCGTCGTCGTTGCTCAAGAACTAACGAATCGTTGCGATGCACATATTTTATACGTACGAAATAAAATAATAACATAAATAAAAGTAACGACGATATTTATCACCGTTGTTCTAAGAGAAAAAAGCTTGTAATTTGTGCAACGACATGACAAGTAACGCGTTTCTTCCCAACCGCGAAAGAAACCACTCGACTCGCAGGACTCACTTCCAGGCATGACTTGTCCGCAATCTTGCAGCGTCAACGACGTCAAGGAGTTCTCCTGATCCACTCGGACGACTCCGTAACTCAAGCCCGACATGGAGAGGACTCCGCGACCGGTGGCGTTCACTCCTGCGCGTCCGGGCCTTCTCACCGAAACCGTCAGAGCCTCGCTGGAAGAGGCGCAAGGGCAGACGGCGTCCGGCCTGAGCCCCTTGGACTGAAATACCGAAAGAAACTGATCGCAGGACGAAAGGGACCAAGGGTTCGCGCCGTCCGCGACGAGCAGCAGCCTCAGCGACGACAGAGACACGTCCTTGTGGTCCTTGGTGGCCAGCAGACCCCAATGGAGGTCCCGCGACTTGACAACAGCCACGCTGGCGCGATGCTTGGTGATCATCTGCATCCAGCTGGCGGGATTGACTTTCATCAAGGCATAAGGGATGAAGATCACATGCATTCCGTTGAGGACGCTGGTCAAGGTGCTGTGCCAAAGGCCAACCTCTCGCTTAAAGTCCAACACGCAGACGGCGTTCTCGCCCTCGGTGTAGCCGCAGGCTTGTGTGAGTGCGCGGCAATGGGACATCATCGCCGCCCTCGTAATGGTCACACCCATCACAGAGCCGTCTTTGTCGGTGGTGTACTCGATGTACGCGGGCGTGTCGTCGGTGAGACGCGGTGGTGGCAGCCAGTCCTTGGGCGTTTTGCCTAGATGTTCGGTGACGAACCAATGCAGCTTCGGCCAGCCCTTGAAGGCTACCACCTCGCCGGCCGCGGTCTTCGGTAGACCCTTGAGACACGCCTCGCTGGTTAACGCCACCTGGAGAACATTGTAAGATGTTATCGCACGCCAAGGTCGCGGCGAGCCTCGCCGTCGCCGCGTTAGTTAGATGCGCGCAAGTGAACGCTTTCATGTAAATCGCCATGCAAATATGGAGACTGCACGGCTAATTGAGCATGCGAGCACAGGAGAAGGAATGCTATCGGACGGATAAGGCGCCCCGCCCGGTGCTCCGCTTACCTGGATTCCGCAGCTTCCCAGGAGGAAACCGATCTGCTGGGAGCCCGCGTCGCGACGGGTCAGAGGTACCTCGATGGGCACCGGCACGATACCGGCCTGCAAGCAGCCGTAAAAGGCGCACATGAAGCTGATCGGGTCGTTATTCGGGTAAACGAGGGCGATTCTGTCGCCGGGTTTCAGGCAGCAATCCCCACCGCGACTTAGAGCCTTGTTCAGAAGAGTATAGGCGATCTTATGGGAGCGGCTGAGCAGCTTCCCGTACGTGAGCGTTACGCAAAGCTTGCCGTTAGGGTCGAGAACGGTCGCCACTGGTGCCTTGTACGTCGCCGAGCCGTACCTGGAAGTAAAAAGCGAATTCTCTGCATGAGCCGCGAAGAGACTCCACGTAACCACCGAGATCCGCCGATCAGTCAGTTTAGGCGAGAAGGTTGTCCCAATTTTCGCCAAGAAAATCATTATGGCGTTTTGGGTCATTCGCTTGGACTCGCCATGATTCTCGCCGGTTCACATGTCAGCTAAAACGTCCAGTAGTAAATAAATTATGAGTTGTACGATTTGCGCTGATAAAGCAAGCAGGGTGAAACGTTCATAGCCACCTGGGTACTCTGTCGCTTCTCGACAATCTAGTGTGGATCAAATAGCAAGATGTATGAGTTGAAGAAATAAATGAATTAACCTTTACAATCTGGAGGCTTTTCTGGGTTTTGGCGACTTTTATTAGAATTTTGAACTAGTATGAATTTTTTCGTAGATATTAAAGGCTAGATTGGTAAAAAATATGCGACCTCCACAGCACTACCATATAGTCAGCTTGTCAGATTGCGAGGGTTGACAAATAATTAATAAAATCCCATAAATCTTAGTATTCGGTAACGTTTATCTCTGCTTCATTTTTATGCAAATCTTACAATATACTGAAGTGGCAAACCCTTCCAAAGACGTTACTTCATCCAAGACGTATCCGAAATTCAAGTCGAGCCAGACCGCAAAAGAAGTATCACATTCAATGATACTTCAGTTTGCATCATACGTCACAGTACCAGAATGAGCTGATATAAAGCTAAATGCACCTGAAGAAATCGCGATGAAGTTACCCGACGAGCTTTCCCCTTACCACCACAATTAGACCTTCTCCTCGTAGAACGCTTCTCACGGATATTCAAATGTCGATATATTGCAAACCCAAATGTATCATTTTTATACGCTGAAGCATGTGATTTGGCTGAAATCTCCCTTTACACATTTATTACCGTTTTAAATTACGTCATTTAACATATTTAAAATCCTCGATTATTTCGGCCGATTTACGATGTCAAAGTGAGAAAGTGTATGCAAAATTAAAAATTCTTGCAAAGTACATTTAAATAAGAAAAGAATATGTTCAGGATATGACACTAAATATATATTTTTATCTTGGTTTTTGGCAATAATAATCACCAATTTTGATAATTTCTGAATATTGATCGAAGAATCATTCATCGTGATGTTGGTACATTGTTACCACTAATTTTTACCATTAATTACGAGCGAAATTAAGAAAAAAACGTTCTTTTCCTCTTTGACATCATGGGTGGATGGCAGAAATTTTGAACAATCTTTACAATAGTATGTGTGTGTCTAGAGTCACTTATTCGTAAAACATGATTTAACAAATAAAATTAGTTTTCTGAAAATGACAGCAGCTGCATTTCAGCTGTATATCTACTATGACTTTTTTACTTTTTTTTCATATAAGAGTTTTTGCTGATAAAGTTCAGATATATAATCTATATGACCTATATGATCAAGAACCTTAACCTTTAAGTGGGTGCGCTAGAGCAAAATCACACAAGTAAGCGCATGATAAGTAGGCAGTTTGATAATTAAAATTTATTGCTTTAACCAAAAATATATAAAACAAATAAATTCTCTTTAAGTTAACAGAAGGGAACAGTAGAAATTTTCCTATACATACTGAGAAAATTACCTGCATGCTACTTATAATATTATACAGTGTGTCCTATTTTAAAGTTTTCACTACACATCTCTTTAGGAAAGCATTTAAGAAAAAAATGTTTATGACAAAAGTTGTTTGGTTTAAAAAGGGACATAAGACGGCGATATCAGTTTGTTTACAGACAGCACCACTTTCGAGATATTTCACTGATCATTACTTTTCTTGAATGAAAATCCCGATTTTTTATTACATAATCTTTTTCTACCAATTAATTTGAATAATTTTTGTCTGAAACATCTCTTAATTCGCCTAATATTTTTTGAGATATTTAAGGAAAACGTGGTAACTTTTTCAATATTTAGCTTACGACGTCTCGGTAATTATTGGTTACTAAGTTTTCCTTAAATATCTCAAAAAATATTAGGCAAGTAAAAAAATGTTTCAGATAAAAGTTGTCCAAATTAAGTAGTAGAAAAAGATGATATAATAAAAAATAGGAGTTTTCATTAAAAAAATTCAAGATAATTTAGCCTTGATGACGCTGTTCAAGATCACATTAATATCGCTATACGACGCGTTATATAAAACTCTACAACTTCTTTATTTAATATTCTTTTTCTGTCTTACATATTTTCAAAGTTATTCAGGTGACCTGTTTAAATGCCTCACCTTATATGCTACTTAAAGTCAACCTGCTCTGACCCCCTGCGCCTACTTAAGGTTTAAATGTGTTGAATTCTAATCTAATATATACACACGTACTAAATGATGTAATGGAAAACAGCGAGAGGAGAAACCTCGAGCCACAGTAACACACTCAGGATGCACATTCGGGGACTTTTGGGTCCACGATGCTGTCCACAGCATGATCTCCTCGACGTCCAAGCAATGACGACGACAACTCACCTCTGGATGGCAGCCTCGAGGGATCTCGGCAAGCCCGACGGCACCGACAAGGACTCGCCCACCGCCGACGTCATGGAGCCTCCCTCGGGCTTCGGGGCGTTGGGGTCCTTCGGATTAGCAGCGATCTCCAGCTCGATGTCGTCGTCCTCGTAGAACTCCGGCAGGGGCCGGCGCTTTGGCCGCTTGAGCGTGTTGAGCAGCTGCTGGATCTTGGCGGAGACCTTCCAACGGCCGGTGGTGCCGGTGTTGTTTTGGTCCTCGACCACGTGATAACGATTCACCCGGTCGGCGCCGGGCCGCCGCGTCGCCGACTGCTGCTGCACCGTCACCGGGGTGCTGCTCGTGTGGGTGACGTCCGGTGGCTGGATGTTGCAGTAGGCGTGCGGCGTGTACTCGGCGATGTCCGTGATGTCGGCTCCGGGCGGCCTCCTTGCCGGCGGCCTCGGCGGCGGCGGGGTGTCTCGGGCGGAACCGGTGCTGCTGGTGTCCGAGAGGCCGGTACCTGTCGAGGAGAACCAACGACCTTGAGCATCGCGCCGCATTATCGATGATGTTGGCTCACCCACTCCGACGGCTCTCGAGCGCGCGAAGGTGCGTGACTGGTTGCTTCACTTCACGTGCCAGTGCGCGCTGCGCGGCCCGGCGCGGCTGAGCACGCGTTTTTCGTTAAGCACAGAAAGGAAAAATTCATGCATATTGATTGTATCGGCGCGAGCCGTCCGGCGGAAATGGTCAAGGACAGGCGACGATTACGCCGGCATTTGCGGAGTCATACGGCGCGCGGCGCGCTTGAATTCTACGCAACGAGGCTTCTCTCTCTCGTTACGTGCGTCTTTCTTTCTTCCCTCCGTCCTCGCCCGCTTTCCACGTACGCAGGAGAGAACAGATGGCACGCATTAACGCACGCGACTTTAACCACCGCGTACATTGTGCTCCCGACTCGTCCACAACGTTGTGCTCAATTATACAAACCGCTCTGAAACCCGCGGACATTGCTTGGACTTGTATGAATGGTCGTCATCGCGTGAAAGTGAGACACTCGGGTCTTAATTGGAAGATGGATCTGAGTTTCTCAGCTGACGCATGTAGCAGCACCTCGCGATTTAACCGAAACAACTCACATTTCGCTCTCGGTTCGAGTCTCGGTATTTTATTCGAGACGTTTCAAAAGTTATGACTATCGACTTGAGTTTGTCTTGACTTTGGATGGATCGCTTTGTTCGCTACGAAGCATCTGATAAACTTGAGGCGATCTTCAATACAAGACCTGATGATGAACACCTTTAGTCGTTTTTTGAAATCTGTCTCAAGCACTCACACTTGAATTTAGAACCAGACGCAGGTCTTTTGCTTGAATCACCAATTTGAGTCATTTTATGACTCAATTGAAAAACTCAGACCTAATTTTTAATTCAGATCTCGTGAGGCTAGCTTCAAGTGGGACAATCGCATTTATATTTAACCCGGCGTCACTGTGGTGGTAAAATGTCACCATAGACATAGGAATATAGGGACAGAGCATAAGCCCATAAGATAGGCGAGGGGAGTTGTGCTGAAATGCGGGGGGATGACTGTGCCTAAGTTTCATTGGCTACAATAGTGCGCATGTTCAGAGCGTGTGATGCAATGACTTGGCTGTCACTGGCAAATAGTAAATGTAACAAAATGATAAGAACTATTTACACTGACAGTATTTTGCAGAGGTTATGCATGTGTCTTTTTTTTCATAATTTCACTCACACACAACTTCATACACATCTATGTATGTATCAAATACTTACACATGGCACAACCACCAATTAGATTTAGGCACAGTTTACCTCGTCGCACCGTTCCGCAATGGTTATCCCCCCGCAACTCTATGCTCTGTCCCTATCTATGTCTATGAATGTCACACGCACGTTGAGGTGGATCATGGAATGAAGGTGAACCCGAATATCTTTTCGTCCACCCTCGCGGTTTTTGTTTGAAAGCTTTTATGGAATAGTTACCTACTTAACATAGGTAACCTGATAGAATATTTAACGAGTTTAAGAAAACATCTCGAGGGTCATCATGACCCTCCCAGCCTGAATGTGACGCCTGAATGTGACGCCGGGTTAAAATTAGAAGTGAGTTTTCCAGTTGAATTGAGAAACCACTTGAATCATTATTACCGATACATGATGTCATCTTGTGCATGTATGATTCAACTGAAAAATTCAGATCTCACTCTAACTTCAAGTATTTCAAGCTTCAAGACTATTGATACGAGCCTTAAATCTCCATTAATTACCTTTGAAATTTTTCTCAAGCGAAATACATTCAAATCTGAAATTAGGAGTGAGTTTTTCCATATAGTTGAATTACAATTTTAAATATGATATTCTTTACACGAGGTGTTTAAAAAATTCAAATCGATCTCCATCTTCAAATTTGAGTATTTCACGTGAAGCAAGCTTCAAACACAAAGACTAATAATATCAGCCTTAAATCGGACATCAATAATCGTTATCTTTGAAATTGTTCTCAAGCGAAATACAATCAAATCTAAAATTAGGAGTGAGTTTTTCCACACAGTAGAATTACAATTATACGAGTTATCGACTTTTGGAAGTGTCAAAATCATCAAATTAACAAGTCAGGACGCTATTGTCTAATACTATTTTTTCTTCCGACGAAATAGCGAGATATCAAAAGTTACGTGTTGAAAAAGTTACCCAGCTTTTCTCAAATATCTAAAAAATATTGGGCAAATAAAAAAATATTATATATGCAAAAGTTGTTAAAGTTAATTGGTAAAAAAAAGAAAATATAATAAAAAATTAAAGTTTCCATTTGAAAAAAATTAAGTTGACTTTCATTTGACCTTAAATACACGTTTCAAGGTCAAACCAAGGGAACTATTGTACATCCCTCTTTAAACCATACAACTTTTATTTGAAATATTTTTTTGTAAAATTGCACATTTCCGACATATTTGCCTGCTAAGATCAAAAAGACTCACCCTGTAGATATATTCTTTACATGAGTTAAAAATTCAAATCAATCTCCATCTTCAAGTTCGAGTATCTAACGTAAACCAAGCTCCAAACACAAAAACTATTAATATGAGCCTTAAACTTATAATCGCTACTTTTGAGACTTGTCTCGAGTAAAATATATTCGAATCTGAAATTAGACGTAAATTTTTCAATCGAGTCACATTTAGATGTATAATCACCCCTTGTATGATTTCACTAAAATATTCGGATCAATCTCCGAACTTAAATCCCATGTGAATAATCGTCACTCTTTTGAAACTTTTCTCACGCAAGATGCATTTGAATCTACAAGTAGAATTTCTTTCGATTAGAATTTACGAATGCTTCAACTGAATCACGATTACAGATCAACCTCCAGAAATTGAAATCCCGCATAGATAGTCGTTACTTTTGAAACTTGTCTCGCACGAGATACATTTGAATCTAGAACCAATAAATCTTCCAGTCGAATCACAATTCCAGACACAATGTTATCCCTCTAAGATTTGACTTTGAAATTCAGATCGACCTGCAAACTGAAATCCGAGTGTCTGACTGGAATATTCCTCAGGAACAAGCTTCAGGACTGTTTAGCAATACGGGCCGTTCAGCAACGTCAGGACGAGAACCCGGCGAAAAATCCACGATATCACACAGCGCGCACATAACCCGGCCGACTCTGTCGTTTCTCTCCGCTCATCCTCGACATCCCAAAGGACCCGTCGCAAGAACGCGGACGATCGCGCAAACGATATACCGGTAGGTCCACCCGCGCCAGGACTCTCCTCGGTGACGACGCTGTCCTCGTCGCTGCTGGACTCGCCGCTATCGCGTCTTTCCCGATCGGGACTCCTGGCCATCACGGAGGTCCTCTTGGACGGCATCGGCAAGGATGGCTTCGGCCGCCCCTGCATCGCCGCCAGCGCCTGCTGCACCGCCTCCTGGCGCACCTCTAAGCACCGAGAATCGATTACACCAGGCGGACGGACGCGAGAGCGGATGACGCGCGCGCGGAGGGACACTTGGTCCTCCTCGCTTCCGCGTCGTCATCCGTTCATCATCCTCGCCATCGTCCTCTTCTGAGGAGCACGCTATTTTTACGCGCGCGCGCGCGCGCTCATCATGCACACTGCGCGCGTCGTGCACTTACGTCGTCATCGTCGCCGTAGTCGCCACCGATGGTCTAAGGTAACGCGCGACGGCTTTCATAATTGAGTATGTACACTTCGGGAAGGATCACAAGTCGCTCAGCGGACGCGGACTCGGGAAAGGTCGGACAGTCGAATCGGGGTCTCGATTCGACAGGCAGGCACATACTGGCAGCAGCCCCCGATGAGATCGCGACGGCACAAGCGAGCAAAGTCACGCTGTAGCTTTTTCTCTTCAGCTGCACATCGACGATGGATGGTTGGCCAAGGGAGGGGGGAGGAGACTCTCGCATGCCGAGTGAAACATTTGTTTCAAGATACTTACGCATTAGTTACAACCCTTTAAGCCATACATTTTTTATCTCTCGGTGGAACTTCTTGAGATGCGGTATCTAAGTACGTCACTGATTACGAATCTGAAGTCGGAATTTTTTAATTCAATATGGCGGTTCAAAAATTTTGATTTCTTCGTGGAATCTGTTCATATTTGGAATATAAGTTTTTAGAGATGTGGTATCTAAGTACGCCACTGATTACGAATCTAAAGTCGGAATTTTTTAATTCAATATGGTGGTTCGATATGGCAGTTCAAAAATCTTGATTTTTCGATAGAATCTTTTCATATTTGGAGTATAAATTTTTAAATTGTAAAGATTTAATTGAATTTGATTGAATTTTTAAATTTGCCAAAAAAATCAAAATGAAGATGAAAAAATCAAAATGAAGATAATACTAGTATTTCAATAATTTGTTATAAAAATAATTATTATAAAAAATAGAATCTACGAAAAATTTTAGAAAATGTATAAAATATTAATTAAGTGTCCTTAATATTGCGATGTGTCAAAAAAATTCCTCATAGTTTGTTCACGAATTAATTTTTCTGGGGAAAAAAAAATAATAAAAAAGAATGCCTTTTTTCATTTTCATTTGTTCCTAGCAAGTTAACAATTAAACATTTAGCTACAAGCTATTTACTATTAATTCTTTATGTTTCTCTGAGAATGTATAGCAGTAATAATAGTAATAATAGTAATAGTAATATAGCAGTTGAATATGACTGCTTAAAGGTTAGTTAAAATCACTAAAAATGAAGGAAATTTATGTGGATAATGTACGTATGTCCTACTATAGCTCAAAGGATTAAGAAACCATGTAACAGCAGTAAGACGGTAAAACGCGAACAGCGATCGACCAACCGCAGTCGATTATGCTCCTAATGGCCCAAGAGTATGATCGACTGCGATTAGTCGACTTTCTTAATGCTCGTGTTTTACCGCCGACCTTTTTCCACGTGCTCGCGGCCTAGCGGCACAAATGCGCGCTGCAAGAAGCGTCCTACAAGTGTCCCGTGTCACGTCCGGCGACGATTATAGCGGCTTCGAGAGCGAATGGTCGAGAATTGCGATCGATAAACAGCAATTGGAATTTCACGCGCGACAGCCGTCTCATTGAATTTTCTCCACTTCCGGAGCGTCGAGAGCGAGTATTTTTGCGCGAAATTCGACGATGAATCCGACGAATAAGGCAAGACTGAATTAATAAGGATAAATAAAGGATAAAGTTAATCTTTCAACTCTTAATACACCAAAGGGATCCTATGAGAACTGCAGAAGATAATTTTCTAATGCATCGTTGTAAATGTAACATTACAATTTGCCGTTAACAATGCTCGAGTCACTAAAGTACATGTTAAACAACCCGAAGAAACATAATCTGAGTCAGCTACAACACCAAACGATAACTCCCAACTGAACTGAATAAAACGATGGGACCCTGTGGAGACCCAATCGTGATAAACAACGTTGACTGAAGACCCTTGGTGAGGGTTGATGCTTGAAATGCATGTCGGATACTGTGAATGTTTCTCTGCTAAAGCATTGAGGAACTTTCTAACGGATGATTGACGGAACCCTGCTAGTTGCCGCCTAGACAAACAGCGAGAATCCAGCCTGAAACACCCAGGAGCCAGCACTGTGCCAATTTTCGACACGGATTTTATCAAATATATCAAGGTGTATAAGGATTTATCGGTTAGGTTATATTCGGTGAAACCGTTTTAATATAGAGAATCATCTTTAATGGTCTTAAGACATTATAGAAATCACCGTACTGTGCAGCCCTCAACAGATTTTAGGCCGTCATTTATTGTTTATTTAGAAGCTATTAACAATAAAGTTTCACAAATGGAGCATACTTCTCCGACACACTATACGTTAAAAAATGATAAAGAACCCACGTATATGCGCGGGGAGTGAAACGGAGCTTCCCTGCAGCCCTCGGCAACTAACCTAACCTAACACATTGTATGCATCCTTTTGTACATGGCGTCTCAATGCAAAATTTTAATGGGGCTTTTTCAACAGCGCTTAGCCGTGTACAAAGATGGATAAGTTAGCTTAGGTGTACTGTCTGCCATTTTTAATGTACAATGTATCGAGAAAGTACGCTCCATTTACGAAATTCTTTTTGTTAATATTTTTTCAATAAAAGTTACTTGATAAGCGGTGGCTGAGACCTGTTGAAAGCTACTCGGTACGGTGATTTCTATAATGTATCCTAAAATCAAGATCACTGCAGGTGGGTCCCTTAAACGGCAGATATTCATCTTATATTTATACTTATCAATTATACTTAGTTACATTTATTGCTCGTATTATTTTTAATCGCTATACGCCTTAATATTTGACGAAATCCGCGCCGGAAATTGCCGGGTTCACGCCGTTCCAGTATCATAGGAGCGAATACACCTGACTCGGTGAAAACACGTCTACGCTAGTTTAACCTTTTAACGCCCGACTTTTTTATAAGTGTTTTAAGAATAAAATTTGAATTTTTTTGAACTGAGACTATAAGTAGTGATAACCAAAAAAATATCAGAATTTTATATTGGTTTTTTTATCGTTCGTTCTTTTTTTTATTGGCAAATATGACTTTGATTCTAAAAGCATATACGAAATGAGCATATACAGAGAAAAATGAAGGGTAATCTACACGACATAACTCTGATAGTTAACTTGACATTTCTGAGCTGAAACTTTACTATATTTGTGAGTGAAGTTTATCATTCAGAGCGTCAAGCTTACTATTTCAGAAGAATATCTTATAGATCACCATTTAGATAGTCAATCGTCGCTTCATTTTTCGCCGCATAAAAAACTGTACGTCACTAGATTTCACGAAAATAGGTTGATTTCTTGATTTTCGTGTCCACCATATTGGATTCGCCATTTTGAATTTATGTATTCTTTTAATTTCACATTTTGCATCTGAGCAAGCTTCCAAATGTATAAAATTATAACAGATACCAATCTATTCATTTATAGTGCACTTCTAGATGTCAGTAACAATGCTAACTATGCCTACTTGGAAAGTAGCTAGAACATCTAGCTTTGACAAAGCATGTTATCATTAAAATTGAGCTAAAAACAGACTAAACCGAATCTACATACAATCTATATACCATTTTTTAGAAGAAGAATTCACCTTTACAGTGATGGAGAGAAAACGAAAATATCTCCTTTTTTGATTAAGTTATGGATTCTTAAATGCGTTTCTGGTAACTGTAGTTACCAGTAGGCGTTAAAGGGTTAAGTCAGAGTCCATTTCCTAAGCTTGACACTCATTCCCGTGATTCCGAGGGACATTTCCCTACAAGAGAGCCTCCAACGGCATTACGCAACGTAAAGCTGCGAGAGAACGATCCTGCGACACTCATGGGCGCGCTTTTTACGTCGCGACTTCGACTCGCAATTAAGGTCGAGCCTCGCACGCGCGCGTTCGCCGCCTGTGATACCGCGACGATAGGTGCATCCAATGCGCCGCGCGTAAACTGCAATATAATGCAGCTAACGTTCGGTCCTCGGAGTCGCCGTGCATTTCCGGGTGAGGCATAGCCGCGCGTATCGTTATTACGACATCATGCAACACCGGCGCACGCGGTTTGTTACCCGCTGCAGTGGCGCGCATACAGGGTGTCCCAATCGAACGTGTACGCTGTATTAGGAGCGTGATTTGGTTCTGAAGGTTTTGCAAGAGATGGCACTAGTGTCAGTTTTGTCGAAGACTCCCCACAGTCACAGTTATTGTTTCTTAATGCTTTAATATTAATCCATGATATTTAGTCACTTATTAATAATAGGCGCAGGTAAAAATACCACGTATAAAACGTGTCAATGACATCTTGAAAAAGGAGCTTCCTAAACAGCATTTTCGATACGCGTTGAATTTGTTTTTTAATCAAAAGAAAACAGCGGCTGAAAGTCATAGAATTCTGATAGAAACTCATGGTGATGTTGCTCCATCAATTGAGACGAGTGAATATTGGTTTAGACGATTCAAAAGTAGTGATTTCAATGTTAACGACAAAGATCGCTCGGGACAACGAAAAAAGCTCGAAAATGCAGATTTGCAAGCATTATTGGACGAAAATCCAGCACAATCCACTTCAGAACTTGCCAGGGCAGTAAATGTTGATCGTACAACAGTTACTAAACGTTTACATGACATGCGAAAGATTCACAAAGAAAAAAAATGGGTTCCACATCAATTATCGGAAAATGCCATTGCGAACCGGTTGAACATTTGCATTTCGCTTATGGCCAGACAAAAAATGGAAAGTTTTTGTATCGAATTGTTACTGGGGGGTGAAAAATGGATCTATTTCGGTAACACCAAATGAAAAAAATCATGGGTTAATCCAGGTCAACCAGCAACATTCACTTCGAGGCGCGATATTCATGGTTCAAAGGTGTTGCTATGTATCTGGTGAGATCAAGAAGGTATTACGTACCATGAATTGTTAAATTTGAATGAAGGTGTCATCGCTGATCGTTATAGACAACAATTATACAAATTGAAGCGAGTATTGGACCAAAAACGATCACCAGTTGCGAGTAAACGACGCAAAGTGATCCTTCTTCACGGCAATGCTCGACCTCATGTTGCATTATCAGCGAAGCAAATGCTATTAAAGCTGGAATGAGAAGTCTTACCGCACCCCGCGTATTCTCCATTCGATTATCACTTGCTGCGGTCGATGCAACATGCTCTAGAGCAAAGATTCCCAAGGGGTGCGAAGAAACATTCTTGGGGGTGCAAGGAAAAGTGATTATAATTAATAATGATTAAGATGAATTCTGAAATATCTGGCATTTTTACCATTAAATTAAAAAAAATGTTATTAAAATTATATATTTTTTTTGTACCTGTACGTTTATATTCATTATGTATCACTATACGAAGCTTGATACCATGGATAATAATTTTTTATAATATTAAAATGATAGTTAATTTCTGTAAAACAATACTATGTGATAATAAATTATTATAAATTAACTTTTTACCCTAAAACCCTAACAACTAATTTTTACCATAAAACATGTGAATAATTTTTTTTTTAGGGGGTACGAAGGTTCATTAATAAATTTTTAGAGGTGCGAAATATAATTAAGTTTTATCATCGCGGAATCCAAATCTCTTGCCAGAAAAATGGGAAGAAGTTGTAGGAAGCGAAGGAAAATATTGTGATCAAGGTATTCGTTCATTATCTCGTTTAAGTAAATCAATTTTTGAATTGATTGAAAAAAAAAAAAAACCTCACAACTAAATCGCACTCCTAATACAATTACAGCACACTTCGTTCGGTCGTTGGCAGTAAGTGTGACCGCGAGAAAATCTCACATACGGATATCATCAGCGTGTGATAGTCAACGTGCGACGAGAAATCGGGGAAGACTCGTTGAGACAAATATCACTATTGTTAATAGAACGAAGGGGAGGGGGCTTGTCATTATTTATCGGTTTTCAGTCTACCTACGTTTGTTTTGGAAATTCGTTTACTCGAGGGGAGAACCTCCTACGTGTTTCCTTTTGAGACGCCCTGTACGCTGCAGTCACAAGCGTCTATCAACGCGGACGCTCTCAGACCGACTTATCTCCTCTACGAGGTACTGCCCGTCGACATCGGCCGGTAACGGTGCACCAGGTGGAAGATTGCCTGCACTTTGCGTTAAGATAAATGAACTTCTGCCGATTGGCGCTTCCGAACCAGGCGGGTTTTTCTTCTCTCGGTCATGCGAGACGACATTTCACTCAGACGAGAGACGGGATATGATGAGGCGGGAGGGGGAGAACAAGGCGAGAAGCGCGAAGCTCTAATGAGGCCTGTTTCAAGGCTCAAACCAGCCCAAAGACAGCCCAAGACGAGAAAACTGGACAGATCCGCAATAAGGAACACCGTTCAACACACATCTTGCGGGAGTGGATATTTATCGTCTCTTGCCTGATCTCTGAAAATTACCTCGATAGTCGCCCGTCCCGTCTTTCGACTAAAGCCTCCCAAGCTTTCTGATATCTGACTATCCGGATATCCGAGATTGGTTCCGACTGGAAAACTCAAGATCGCGCTATTCATGTCCAAATTTCGAGAATTTGTATCCGCAAGAGGAAATCCCGATTCAAGTTTGCGGATCCGGATCAAATAAAAAGATTAAATGAACAGAAAACGAATCAATCTTTAACAACAAATTTATCCAAAATAATTATTATCCAAATAGATAAATTAAAGTTAAATTATAACTAAAAAATATTGAATTATAATTAAGGAACAATTAAATAAGGATCCATAAAAATAGGCATTATCGGAGTCTCGTTAAATTTCTATTTTTACAAAAAATATTTACTTGTTGTTGATTATTAAATTTTCGAGAGAGGTGTAGATTGTTGCGAACGCGTCTGTTTGGTCGATTTCAAATTGAGATCCAGATTCGATTTCGATGTTTCAACCGTTACTCGGATAAGCCGAATTTGAAGCGTTATTTATCCGCCATTCGAATAACTAGATATCCGGATAATGTCAGATCCGAACGAATACCGAAACTCCATTGTTTGACCGGTTCTGCTGCGAACTTAGATCCAGATGCGATGTTTCAGCTATTCAACTCGGATAAGCCGAATTTCATATTTATCCGCTATTCAAACAATCAAATGTCTTTCGACTTGTCTTTCCACGCGATCTCCGCGATTCTAATTTTTCTGTATCAGATGATTACAGAAACTATCAGAGCCAACAACAGGGTGAACTTTCGGAAACCACTCACGTCCTGAATTTAGATGAACATGCTTCAAACGGTCTCAAATGGATGCCCTTAAATTAATTCTCACCGACCAAAGTTTGATGCCCAAAAGGTTTAAGTAACGTTATCTATCGCTGATAATATACTATTTTTCCAGATAAGTCAACGCACTGATCATATCCCTGTTTGCTTAGAACGTTAGTCACCTAATTTTTCGTGTAAATATCTTAAATTAAAAGATGGAGCAACTACATCGCAGTGGGTTAGGTTAGGTTAGATTAGGTTTGGTTAGAATAAAGATTTATCTATTAGCATATAAATCACAGTGCATACATAAATCTGGAAAATACATAATACTATTAGCGATATATAACGTTATTTGAATATTCCTAGCTTCAAAAAAGAAAGATCGCGATAGATAGAGGCGTTTTTCTGCCCTCACTGTATTTTCAAGAAATAGTTTTTTTTTTATTGTACAGTCATCGGAAACGTCAGAAACAACCATTATGTGAGAAAAAGACCCAATCCATGAAACCAAAATTAATTATTAGTCTATAGGTATATCACTATGGTATTTAACCTCTTTTCATGACTTATTAGTGGACTGGTAAAATATTTTCGGCCATTATATTACACTTCTCTGCTATCATATATTAACGTCATTTTAAACTAGTATAGATAAGATATTGCCCATTATTTGTCCTACTGGACAGGTGAATATGAGGAAAAAGAAGAATAGTCGAATTCTGAGCAATCATCATCAAAAGATGCTTAATAATCACGATCGTGATGTTCAATATATAAAAAAGAAAAACCCAAGAAAGAAACAAAATAAAAAAATAAAAGGAAAAGAAATTAAGACTTTATAATAATCACAATTTTGACGCAATGTGGAGGCTTAAGTCTGCAGACGACTATATAGTTATCATTTATTATTTATCTATTTATCAGTATTTACAGTCTATTTATTATTGATATCTACATATCAAGAATAATAAAAAATTAAATTTTCCACCATGAATTATATTCACTTTCACTTTGTGGGAGATACATGTCGTAATCTGAAATGACGTTAATATAATGGCAGAGATAGAAGTAGAAGCAGAAATATTTTATTAGTCCACTTATTAGTTATGAAAAAAACTTACGTACCATAATGATATACCTAACTAATAATTATTATTAGACTAATAATTATTTGTTGCTTTATGGATCAATTTTCATCTAATGATTATTTTTGATACTCTCAATCATCATACAATAAAAAAGTAATTGCTTTTTGAAAATCCTATGAGAGCTGAAAAACTCCCTTATATCTGAGCCCTTTCCTTTATAGCAGGGGTTCCCAACTGAGGGTGCGAAAAAGCATTCTTGGGGGTGGGAGGAAAAATGACTGTAATTAATAATGAGTAAGATAAATTCTGGAATAATCCGGCATTTTTACCATAAAATTAAACAAAATGTTATTAAAATTATATTATATATAAAAATATATTTTATATTATTAAAAATTGAATATTTTTTTTGGTTTTTAATTCCTTACCTTAAAACCCTAACAGCTAACTTTTACCATAAAACAAATAATTTTTTTGTAGGGGGTGCAAAAGTTTATTAATAAATTTTTAGGGGTGCAAAATACAAAAAAGATTGGGAAACCCTGCTTTGTAGCAATTATTAGGCCTGTGGGTGACTTTCGGCAGTTCATCCTCGGCAATTTTCGATACTTTTGCCAAAAGTCAAAAGTAAGGAACGGAAGAGTTGAAGTCTACTCGCGATCGATTTGCTCGGTGGAATATTGAGAAAAAGAAAGAGAGATAGAGAGATAGAGAGAGAGAGAGAGAGAGAGAGAGAGTGAGTGAGAGAGAAAGAGTGTGACCCCTGGACGGGTGTGCCAGTCGCAGCAGGACAACTAGGATAGTACCTCAGCTATGCCCCAGCAACCCTCTGAACGTGTATACTCACCGGAATGGTATCGGCTCTCATTGCGCGTAAGTCTGCGATTGCCGCGTCTCGCGGCCGCCGCCGCCGCCGCAGCCGAGTTCGAGTTCCCGGTGTTCCCTGTGGAGCCGCCAGATCCCGGGGGACTGGCGATCCCGCCAGGCACTAGCCGGCCGCCTGCATGCAACACAACAACAACAACGGCACATAGACAAAGATGGGACGTGGCTGCTACGAGGGACAAGTAGCAAGGCGCGACGGGGGCGCGCGTTTCGCTTTTCGCGGCGGCGCGCATCCGGATAAACGACGGAGCGGCTTGATTGAAGCTGGCATTCGGGATTAGCGATGAGCGCGTTCCCAGTCCCTCTCTGACCGTCATCGATTATCGCAAACGCGATCCTCAGAGAGCTAAGGTCTTCCGAACGCGGCGGAAAGAGAGACGGCCACGCGAGAGCTGCGTTATGTTAATGATACCGAGAAGAGCCTCGCCGGAGGACCCAAGGACCCTCGAGGATCTCTGGCGAGCGTCGAGCACCCTCGCGAATCCTAGAGCGTATTACCGGGCTTCCATGCGATTAGTTGTGCCCTTGCACGCCCAACTCCCCGAAAGAGAGAGAAAGAAAGAGTGAGAGAGAGAGAGGAGGGGGAAGAGAGAGTGAAACAGAGATCCTTGAGTCGTTTCGGCTTGGCTCGCATGTCGCGCTCGCGTATTATTTATCCGGATGCGAGGTAATCGCCTAATTGCGACTACTGACGACTGGTCATTCCACCATCGGATGCTGCGTCGAATACGTGTGCGACTCGTATCGATCGTCCGTGGCTCGGCGCAAGAAGCACAGAGGAGGAGGAGGAGGACCGTGGCGGCGCGGTGTCGCGATTCATTCGGAACGGTCGCGGCGATTTCGGGATTTCGGCCGCACGTGTCGTCCTCATCGTCGTCGTCGTGTGAACTTGTCAGTCCATTTATAGTCCAACGTGTGCAGTGTGTCGAGCGACGACCGAGAGGCGATATCCTACCCCGAAAAGGATCTGCCAGCTCGCAGGTAGAATTTAGCACAGAAACGCGAAAGAAAAAATAAAAGTAGCAGAGGGACTGCCCGTTCAAGAGTCCACGGGAATGAGGCGCGTGGAGAACAAATAAGGAGTAAATCAGAATAAAAGAATCCTTCCGGGACTCCTTGTGCAGGAGCTATTAGTCCAGCGTCGCGCGCGCGAAAAGAAAAGAAATTAGAAAAATCCCTCCCCAGGCTCTTCCCAACCGAAGGACCAGCTGAAAGAGTCAAACCCGATCCGTGGCCCGTGGTTAGGGTCGCCAGATTTGCAAGTTGGCAAGGGAAGGGCGGCCGGAAATTTCGATGAGTGAAAAAAGAAAAAATCATCGGGTGGAATGTCAAATTTCCGAGTTTCAATCTTCAACCGCATATATTACACATTTCATGTATATATTACTGACAAAAGTAAGAGCGCGCCGAACACCCAACAGAACAGCGACAAAAATGTCACTAGCTAGTGACTATGATAAGTCACTATGACGAGCAAAAAAAAATTTCCTTCGAGGGAGGTAGTGGAGAAGGACAAACAGTGTCCCCGACAACGACGTGAACATTTGGGTTAAAGAGAAAGACAATCCTTCTCAAGGTAGGTCATCTTTAGCAACCCTAACCGTGGTCCATCAGGAGGCCTTATCAAAAGGACCCATGAGATCGCGGTTCCACGGCACGGAGGTCCCTTATTCGCGGGAACGAGAATCCCTATTGACGACGGTGGGCCACGTGAAAGATGGAGGTGTTGCGTAGCACGCTCGCGGATGCACGACGTAGTCGGCTGAGTAGCGAGAATGCCGATGGATGGCACAGGCAGGGCAGGCAGAGGCAGGTAGAGGCAGGCAGGCCAGGCAGAGGCAGGTAGATAGGTAGGTAGGTAGGTAGATAGGTAGGTAGGTAGGTAGATAGGTAGGTAGGTAGGTAGGTAGGTAGGTAGGTAGGTAGGTAGGTAGGTAGGTAGGTAGGTAGGTAGGTAGGTAGGTAGGTAGGTAGGTAGGTAGGTAGGTAGGTAAGTAGGTAGGTAGGTAGGTAGGTAGGTTGGTAGATAGGTAGGTAGGTAGGTAGGTAGGTAGGTAGGTAGGTAGGTAGGTAGGTAGGTAGGTAGGTAGGTAGGTAGGTAGGTAGGTAGGTAGGTAGGTAGGCAGGTAGGCAGGTAGGCAAGCCGGCCGGCCGGCTGGCTGGCTGGCAGCAATCTTGAGTCACCCGAAGGTGGAACAACCGGTCTCTCGGCTACCGCCTTGCTATGTCAAATTACAAAGGTATCTAAAGGTGCAAAAGCGTCTCGAGGCAACACACGCGAGACAGGGGCATAAAGCAGGCACACAGGCTACACGAAGAGAAAGAGAGAGAGAGAGAGAGAGAGTGATACAAGCGTACGTACGGACGGATGGAATTCATTCGCGAGGACTCCAGGCCGCTCTCGAACGAGTTTCCACGCTGTGTGTGTGTGTGTGTGTGTCGTGTGTGCAGAGAACGTGAAAAATAGAAAGAAAGAGTGGGAGAATAAAATCATTCCGGGATCCACATCTATCTCTCTACAAATGTGTGAACGTGGTTATGCAAATCGAAAAAAAAGGAGGGGGACAGGGGACCCGGACAATAAAATCGACATCTCGGCGGACCGATCAGACTGGAGTCGCCTCTCGGAGGCCTCTGCAAAGAGGATCTCTGCCTGCCAGAAGTACATACGGCCGATAACGGGCCGCGGAGAGAAAATCCCTAGGCTTATCTTACGCACCGCGAGAAGCGTTGCGATAATAACGCGTGTGAGCGCGCTAATACGCTGTGAGATAATAGCGTAAGATAACATCAGCGCGACGAGATGATGCCCCGTCGTATCGGCTCGACGAGAAGTGATCCTGTCTACCCCGGCAGGTCTATCGCGGGCGATACGTAAGTATCCTATTCTTCTCCGTCGCGTCGGAAAAGACGTTAACGTCCGGAACCAAAGCAAATTCAAAAAGCACACAGGGAGACAGAAAGAGAGAGAGGGAGTAAAAGAGAGAGAGAGAGAGAGAGAGAGAAACACACACACGCACACACACGCGCAAATCAATAATCGCCGCGTCGCGTCCGCGAGTCCGAGTCGCGTTCGCCGACGTGTAGTGCGTGGCGCTACCTGAGTGATAGCGCTTCTCGTTGTGCGTGACGCGCCGTTGCGTGCGCCGTGCACGTGGCTGCGGTCGGCCGCCGCCACCACCACTACCGTCGCCACAGTCTCCTCCTCCTCCGCCTCCTCCTCCTCCTCCTCCTCCTCCGCCGCCGCCGCCGCCAACGCCAACGCCAACGCCGCCACCTCCCCCGCTTCCGTAACCCGTTCTCTCCAGCCCTCCACCACCACCAGCATTTGCAGCCCCTACGATCCACACAGGCGCGTATGCACAGAGCTGGTGCGTCGTTTCGTTTCTCAGACACTCGCTCGCTCCCGTGTACTTTTCGCCATTACGTCATATCCGTCCCGCCGCACCGGGGACTGAGCGGATAGACTAATCGGGGCATCGGGCAATCGTTTTCCTTGATAAAATAGTCGGAAAACGGGAAACAAACGCGTGGACGCGGTATCGCGGCAATGGTGATACGGCGTGAATGTAAAACCCGTATCAGACTACGGATTGGGATTAAGTATTGGATTGAAATTTAACTAATCAGGGCTAAGTTTACTATATTTGAGATTATTTTCTTTTTTCTAATTGGTTAAATTTCAATTTAATCTCAATCCCAATCCATAGTCTGACCCGGACTTAAGGGTCCTCACACATGGAATGACATAGATGCATATGCATAACATAAGAGCTTATGGACCAATGAATATCTAGATAGCATCTAAATGCTATTGTGTAAATCAATATGGCGACTGTATGCTCGATGCTCATTAGTTCATAAGCTCTTATGTTATGCATATGCGTCTATGTCATTCCATATGTGGAGCCCTTAAGTTTTCGACGAGTGTTCATGGTGGACACATAGACGCACAATCATGGATAATCACGCGACACGCAAGAATGCCGGGTCGGCCGACAATGACTTGTGGCGCCGCTTCTACCGGTCAATTAAAGCTTAATCTGAGTTTAAGGTCGATATTCATAAACGAGTCTTGTAACATCATATTCATAACCGAGTTCATCCTGTAACATCAGATAGTATTAGATTTTCCCTCAGATCGTCTGAATGTTAAAGTGCTATGCAGCCAATGAATCGGACTTTAGGATGAACTAACAAGGAACATACGCGAAGTGTGTGTTTCCGATTTCGACGAAACTTAACATATTTGTAGAGTAGCTAAAAATAAGATACCCATATTTTTTTTATCGATAATGGCTCAAGTTTAAGGGATGAAACCGCTCCTCAATGTTTCATCCCCTTTATACTATCTCGATAATTATTGCAGATAGAAAAAAACTTTTTAAATAAAAATCATACGGCATAAAAAACTGTACAATTTTTGTTTAAAAAGTTTTTCCTATCTGCAATAATTATCGAGACATCATGAAGGACATAAAACTTTGAGGGGCAATTTCACCCCTTAAACCTAAGCAATTGCCGATAAAAAAATATATGAGTCTCTTGTTTTTGGTTACTCTATAAATATACCAAGTTTCGTCGAAATCGGAGACACACATTTCGCGGATGTTCCTTGTAAGATGATCTTAGGTCTGTTCTTTTTTAGGGCCGGTTTTTCGATAATACGTAGTTTAAACTTAAATCAAAGTTTAAACTCTGTTCAAAAGCATTAGACTGTTTTTCAATGGATAGATCAGAATAAAACATAGTTTAAAGTATAGTTTAACTAAACTGTGAATGATGACCGTTTAAACGTCATTTAATGGATTGATAAACGTCGTTACACACACAATACAGTGTCTCTATTATTGTATTTAAAATCAAATTGTCAAATATTTTTAAAAGTATAAAATATTTATTACGATGTTTGATGAAGAATATTACGAAGAGAGTAGTGAAAATAAGGATATTTTAGGATATATAAAACATATCAATATGAGAAAAAATCGTGTTGTAAAGCGAAAACCAAATCATTTTGAAATTTGGGATGAAAAAGAATTTCTTCAAAAATTTCGCTTATCCAAAGCTTCATATGTTAATAGAAAAAATTCAAGATGCTGCTCAATCACCAACTGAAAGGTATTAATATGTCATATAAATTAAATGACATATATAGAATATTTTTCTATTATATTAGTTTTAACTAATTAACTAGTTGCAAAATATGGTGTTTACTAATAATGAATATTATACGAATATAGTATAAAATTTATTTATATTGTATTTTTTTATTTTTTCCAAAAATCAGGCTCTTTCAGTGTGTACGAAATGATATTATTAACATCAAGATTTTATGCTAGTGGTTTTTTTTTACAAGCGTAAGTGATTTTGTTGGTTTACAAAAGTACAGCAAGTAAAGTAATTAATAAAGTTTCAAGGGTAATTGCTCAACTTAGACCTGCATATGCAAAATTTCCGAATACAGAAGAAAATAGTCAAAGACTTCATGAAAAGTTATGCAATATTGCAAGATTTCCATGTTGTGTGGGTACCCTCATATTAGAATTAAACATCCACGTGTCTAAAAGTGACCCGCACAGCGATGACTTTTTGTTGTCAACTTAAAAATGACAAAGGTTTATCTAAACTGTCTTCAGCATATACTTGAAAAACATACAAGATGTAAAACTAGTTTATGGATCAAATAATCAAAGAAGGATCAGATAATCTTTAGTCATAATCTTTAGTTTAAGCCACGATTGAAAAACCGGCCCTTAGCTGAACTGATTCAATAAGTTGGAGTGAGAAAAAATATAGTTGTCTCGCTCAAACTTATTGCAGTAGTTAGCCGCAGCAGTGCGGCTAAAAAGAACAGACCACTTATGTCGAAGACCGAACTATGAATGCCTATCAAGGAGAGACGAGAGGTATTCACAGCTGTTCTCTCATATTCAAGATTATCTCAAGTTCAGATGCTGTACGGGTCGTTTGATTGGTCGTAGCCAATTACGAAACATTAGAAGATAAGCTTAACTCTTAAGAGCTACCATCGAAAATCAACTCGAGCTAACTCTTCTTACTATATTTATAACAAAGTATATGCGAGAATTGACCTGTTTTATTATAATGTTATTACTATTGATAATATGAATAAATATCTATAAAATTAGCGTTGTCAGTGTGGTTACGTTTTTTAATAAGATCAAAAATTCGTATGGGAGTGAAATTTCACCCATGACAATGTTTAAGGGTTAAAACGGCCTAAAATATACACAGATGAATGCACTCAAATAAATATTTTTTTAAGACATCAAACACAGAATTTTTATTTTTATATCAACTCGATAAAATGAGAAATGAAAATTCCAGTGTAAAATAAAACCCAGAAAAATGATTAAAAAACGTTCCTACATAGAGAGTCGTGTGTTTATAAATATTATAATTTTACAACTGGATATATTGTATTCGAGTATTTTTTGTTTCAAATATTTCACGAATTAGTATATTCGCGAATTTATTAAAAATTCACCTTAAGATTTATTCAAAGAGATACATTCTGAATTTTATCAAGTTTCGATCAACAAAATGTTGCATGAAAACAAAAATTCGGCCTCCTACGCCTAGAGTATAATTTTTACAATATTCTCATACAAGGAGAATAAATTCTTTTCAGTGCATGATAATAAATTTCCTCAAAATATACGACGGATATGTTTGAAGACTGTTATAAAAAATATAGTATTTGTCGAGGATGACCGCCGCTTGGGAGGGGAAAAGTACTGAGCAATCGCTTCCCTCGGCGATAGAAGGACATTTTTCTCCAAGACCCGACTACGAATATCCGGAGATATCTGTAAGGATTCAGCAAATACATCTTTGTCGAGATAAAGTTCAAACTCAGATTAAAAGCTTTACTCGACGATAGTAGAAACGAGCATCGATGGGAAAAATGGGATAAAACGTCCAGTAACTGTTACTCCGCCAGTTTCCGACTCCATCGCGTGGGTTGTGTCGAATATCAAGGTGCACGGAGATGAAAAAACAGATAAACAATAAGTAAGAATAAATCCTCAGTCGAACACGCGACGAAATCCGCGCAAGAGTGCCGCACACTGGTTCTCCGGGAGATACGTTGTTTCAAAAGTCTCTACAAATCTCAAATCTCAATGAATCTTCAACTATTTTTTTTTAAACGTTCATCGGTGAATTTGTAACAAATTACACAAGCTCGATTTTCGATTAGACATTCGAGAAATTATTTGTCTAATTAACCCTTTAACTGCTGAGATATTAAATGACCAATATGACCCTCTTTGCTGAGTTATTTTTACAATTATAAAATATTTTATAATGATATAAGATCATGCAAAAATGTACACATATACCGGCTCTCTTTTCTTTTTCTTTGTGCCAATGTAGTATTTGAAAATACATGACAATGCCTAGTGCCATTGTAGCAAGGCCGCCATTTTTTTCCACACTCGAGTTATCTCGACCGTAACAGTTAAAGGGTTAAAAGTAAAAATTTCAATCGAACGATGAACAACCATGATACTGACTATTTCGGGAGATTTTCCACAGTTGAACAGACTGTCGCAGAGAAAAATGCTTTTCCAAATGAAAAATCAAAATGGCGGACTAAGATAGCGGACACAAAATATCAAAATTAGATACATTTGCAAAAAAATACGTATACGGGGATTTTTGGGGTCGCTGAGAACGAATATGCACTTAGGAGAAACAATTATACATAACAATTATATTTTTCAATAAATTGTCGAAATTGTACAGTTTTGTTATTTGACGATATATCTGTTTAAATTATAAGCTGATTGAGGATAAAATAGTATACTGCAGAAAACTGTAAAAAGAGAACGATTTACCAATACGGTAAGTGAAATTGATGGACCGATAAACATTAATGTCCATGCTTAAACGAATGCTATAAATGCTATGAATCTCGTAAGTGTAAAGAGAATATGGGTTAAAACATGAGAAAAGGATACACAAATATTATTTTTCAAATTTTTTTAAACAATGATTGTTCAGACAAATTATTTGAAAAAGTTTGTTTTCAAATCCTGGTCTGCCATTTTGATTTTTCACGTTGGAAAAGCATTTTTCTGCGACAGTCTGTCCAACTATGGAAGGTCTCTCGAAACAGTCAGTATCATGGAAGGTTCATTCATCATTTGGTTGAAATTTTTATTTTTGATTAGACAAACAATTTCTCGAATGTCTAGTTGAAAATCGAGCTCGTGTAATTTGTTACAAATTCGCTGATGAACGTTAAAAGAAAAAAATTGTTGAAGATTCATTGAGATTTGTAGAGACTTTTGAAACAACGTATCTCCCGGGGGGGACCAGTGTGCGCCGGCTACGGGACGTATCGTCCTATATATGCAGAATGCAAGTGCATTTCGCCTCGGTCGAATTGCCGGATTAATGTTAAGGAATTTGCCGTTACGCGGCCCGAGCGTGCCACGGCTAGAAAACTGTCGCTGGTGCCTTCGACTAGCGTTCACGACAATGGCAGATGCACGTAGCATATAACGAGCGGATAACGCGGAAGCGCTTCTTCCGCGTGCAGGTACAGTTAAACTGCGAGCCGATTGCAGCGGTTCTGCCGATCGCAGCTGCGGGCGCAAAGGCGAGGCGCGTCCGTGCAAAACAACTAACTAACGGGGTGGGCATCGTGCAAACGTACGATAGAGCACGGCCGGTGCCGATGCGCGATTATTCACCGGCTAATTCGAACGGCGATCGCTCTCGCCTCTCGACGTCGAGCGTTCCCGAATTACGGTAAATGCCGCCGCGCGCTCTCGCCCGATGCTCGCTCGCGCGGGCTTCGCGTTCGCATGCGGCCCGTTTGACGTCTCGCACGCTCGAAATCTGCCGGAGTGTGAAATTTCGCTCGGAAAGTGACCACCGAGTCTCGCTCGAGTCCGAGCGCCTTTTTCGGCTCGCGCGCGGCGCGTTCTTTTCACGCTGAATCACCGAGTGAGCGTTTTCAAGCGGAATTGCAGAGCGAATCTGCAGGACGTGTACAGTCGCCTGCGCGAAAGTTGCCACGCTTTTCTTAACTCCTTGTGCGTGGCGTAGTGGTGACTGTAGCTACTACCTTTTTCTCTTTCATTTTTACGACCATTTAATGAAAAAATAACTATGATCTCAAATTTTTCCTGATATATTAATACTTTACACGTTTCCCGTGGCTTTTATATCTGATTGTCCGTTTTTAATTACTTATAAATAAAGTTCGAAGAAAGCGATTCAAAGGAAAATTTATTTTTTCGAAAACGTTCAAAGTTTAAAGGCTGAAAATTTTACTGAATATTCTTCACATGTCAAAATATAATATGCATTTGTTCCAGAATTTTTTTATAAAAAAGAAATTAACATTTTTTATAGACGAATTTTTTATAAAAAAGTAAAAATTTTGTATAAACAAATAAAGTTAAGAGAAAACGATTTAACAAAATTCAAGTTCTTGGGAAGTATTTCTACTAGAGAGACTAGAAGCCGAAAGTTTTACTGAATATTCATATGTCAAAATATAACATACATAGTTTCCAGAATTTTCCATACACTGATAAAGTAGAGAAAGCGGTTTAAAAAATGTAATTTCTTGGGAAATATATGAGATTAAAGGCCGGAAGTTTTACTGAATATTCTTTACATGTCAAATATAATATAAATTTTTGCAGAATTTTTTTATAAACAAATAAAAATTCTTTAAAGAACTTTTTATAAACGAAGTTAAGAAAAAACGATTTAAAAAGATTTAATTTCTTGAGAAGTATTTGAAATTAAAAGCCGAAAGTTTTACTGAATATCCTTCACACGTCAAAATATATATATTTTTTCCAGAATTTTTCGCACGCCGAATTTTTTCATAAACAAATTACTTGAATGAATTTTGTTAATCCGAATTTTGTTAATCCTAATTGACTAACTGGGGAAACTTTCATAATGTACATCTGATTTACAGTCATTGAGACTTATAGTAATTTACCCTTATACGACGGCCATATTGAATCTGCCATTTTAAATCTTTGAAATCCGACTTGAGACTTATTAATTACAATTACAATAAGCGAGTCAAAAAATACAGAAATGTAAGATTTCACAGATTCACCTGTCAAATAAAAAAAATATGCCACACACAAAAAGTTAATACTTTACTGAAATTTCCACTTATAGATCAGTTCTTGTATGTTTGATCCTCACAGAAATTCGCGCCCTCGTAAACCTACGGCGTACATAAACTCGTGAAAACGAGCGTCGTTCGCGATGTTTACGCGAGCAACCACATTCCACCGTCAGCCGGTACACGTTCAACCGAATATCTCGAGTCGACTACAACGAATTCGCTCTAATGAACGAAACGCTCTTCGCGATTTCGAGTGGCGATATTTTCGTCACTGTCACACTCGAAGCGAGGACATCGCATTCGCTCGTCCCGGACGAGATTCCACTCCGAGGACTTTCAAGCGTTCTTTTTTTTTTGTTTTTTACCTGCACGCGTTATTATCCCGGCGACGTCGTTACATGACGAGGCCAGGATTCTAGCCGGAGGACTCGAGCCGCGGAAGTACATTCGGGCATCCGCGAAATCGCAAAGAACGGCCAGCCGAGCGTGCGTGAGGGGATTGAATCGATACGCTAACGGAGGCGAGATGCGTCCCAGGAATGCATTCTCGCGCGGACGCGCGCGCGCGCGCCGGCAAATGACGCGTGGAAATGTCCGGCCGGCGGTTCCGTCACCGGTAATTTGCAGCGATAAGACGGAGTCGCGTTCGCGGCGGCGACAGTTGCGGTAACGGTTAGCGACTCGGAAACGACTCGCATTACACTTTGCGCCCGCGATAAGCGATGCGGAAATCCAGCGCGATCGAGTGAGGCGCGTTCGCGGTCCGTCTCGTGGAAGAGGTTTCGCAACGACATTCGCGGAACGACCGATCGAGCCCGTTCGCGGAAGCGGCGGATCTCGCGAAAATCGGGGGAATCACTGGGAATCGGATCACCATCGCAGGATCACCATCCTGAGATCGCGATTTTCCCCGCGACACGACGAGAAGGGGGAAATGAAAGCGACGCGTGGCCCGACGCGTGCGAGGCGAAGGATCGCGCGCTTCGTCCTTCCTCCTGTGCGAGTTGCGTCCACCATTGTGCGCACAATGAGGCGCGGATATCCCTTGAGAATCGGGACACGCGATTGATACTGCGGGCCCGCCGCGTCCCCGCCGTGGCGCAACAATGCGCACGCCGGGACGGCGATGAAGGATAAGACCGGCGGCGCGCGAGCGTGCGCGAGCTGGAAACTGCAGGAACTGGCTTTTTCGCTCGGGAACACTTCGCCGGGACATTTCGCGTTTCATCGATCGCGCTCGGCTCTGCGCGCGAGATAGGAAAGTGCGATGCAAATACGTATACGGAGGGAAAGGCTCGCTTGAATTCGCGCGTGTCTCAGCAGAGAAGCCGCGGTTCTCGCGCGACAAATTCGCTTCTGGGAGCCGGCAGATCCTGTCCCTGCAAACGCCGACGGAAACGCCCCGGGCAAAAAATTGTTTTATTAGGGCCATCCTCATGAAGTATAAGGCCCCGGTAAGGCTGAAGGTAGGATGCCCTAAAAAGGGATGCCTCATTATTACAGCATCAGGCCCCGAGATGGGATACCTTAGATTTTACAATATAAAGCTCTGATAAGGAAAACTTGTAAGGGCCTTAGAAAGGTCTGTTAGGGATGCCTTAGATTTTACAAAATAAAGCTTTAACATGGAAAACGATCTTTTAAAGATGCTTTAGATATACAAAATCAAGTTTTAGAAAGCTATAGAAAATTAATAAGATCTGAAGCGTGTAATAAAATTGTCATAGTTTAGTATTCTTTTAATAAATATTTGGCTCTATTTAGTTCTTTAAAAAATTTGTTAATTATACCGCAATTAAAAACAAATTTTATTAGTTTTATTAATTGCCATATTCATTAGTCTCTTTCAAGGATTTTCCTAGCATTGTCTTCGTTTTGAAATGTAGCAAATTTTAACAAAACAATAGCAGGATTTTTATGCGTAAAGAATGCTGTATTTCATTGTAAAGTATGCTATATTTTTAAAATAAAAAATTCTTATCGTATACTAACAAGGTTATAAAGAAATAAAGAAATTACAGTTTAAATTCCTTGGAATGAAAAGAACGAATATTTTACTCAAGCAATAATAAAAATATTTCCTTGTAAGACCCTATTAATATTGCCTTATAAAACCTACAAAGTTATAAAGAAATAAAGAAATTACAGTCTAAAATTCTTGGAATGATAAGAACGAATGTTTTTACTCAAGCAATGATAAAAATATTCCCTTATAAGGCCCTATTGATATTGCCTTATAAGGCCTGTATTTATAATATTGCCTTATAAGGACCCATTAAACCATTTGTCACATATTTTGTAAGGCCCTTGTCTTTCTATCCCTACTAGAGCCCAATTAATGTTGGGAAAAAATAATCAGGCCCTTATAAGAGTCCTATTAATTTTTCTACTCGGGGCACGCTGCCGCTCTCGAAGTTGCGCTGGCCTCGCAGGAACCGCAGGTTCCCCAATCCGAGCAAATTTTTCGCCCCGCGTAGGCAATTTGCAGTCTCGGGACGGAGATGAAACGCGCGTTTTCGCGGACGGAGTTCCCCTTTTGCCGCTCGGATTTCGTCGATCTCGTCTGGAGATTGCGCAAAAAAAAAAGAAAAAAGACGAAACCGTGCGGGGCACGCGGTAGATCGAGAACGCGGGCACGCGAGCCGCGGTGGAAAACGCGCGCAGAAATGTGGCAATATTTTCGCAGCAGGCTGACTTCTCTCTCGCGCATGCGCGCACGCTTCGTGCCGCGCATAATGCGGCTGACGCGCGCGCGATGATATCTCTACGGGTATCTTAATGAATTCTGGAAAAGCGAGAGACTCACCTAACTGCTTCGAGGCGTACTGCTGCAGTAGACGCGTCCGTTTCTTCTCATAACCCTTCTGTGTGATATCCCCTGCAACAGCGAGAGACTAATTAATGGCCAGTCTGCGAGGCGCGATTTGCGTTCACGCTCGATCGAGCGGCTTCTACGCGCCGGGCGGGAATTCGAACGAAATTCCTCGTTGCGGGTTAATCTTCGCGAATTACCGAATCTTCGTGATGGCAAACTTCCCGTCGCAAACTCGCACAGAAAGAATGACAATGGCCGAGGCTCCGATAAAAATGCGCGCAGAGACGTTTTATTACAGTCTTACGACGCAAGTTTTATTATGCTCGTCAACGTTGACTTCAACGAAGGAGTATCGTTAAAGAATCTGCTTTAATTGGTATCCGAAAGTTTATACCCGCGTTTGTATCTTGAAGTGGGCGATAAAGTAAGTAGTAAGCATTTTTTCATCCTTAGAGCTGTTAGAGTCGCAACGTAACATTAGAGGCCGCAGGTGAGGGGGAGGAGACAAGGAAGTGGAAAGCGGAATTGATGGAATGATGGATTCGATCGGGATTTTTGCCTCGGGTCGGATGATAGACCGCTGGATAAAGGGGCAACGATCGAACGGGCGTTTTCCAGGATTGAATTTTAGATCGATGCACGCTCCGCTGCCGGCCGGCCGGCCGGCCGGCGGCCGCGCCGCGCTGCGCTGACACAGCTCGTTCATGTGCCCCGGCGCGATGTAAAACTGGTTGGTTAGCGTACTCGCCTCCCGTCACGCCTCGTAACTCGAGAAAACGCCGAAGAATCAATCTAACGGCCGAGACACGATTTTTCCGCCTTCGCCAGACAAAACCGGGCCAGCGCGATTACGTTAATCGAGAGACATACGCGGGATTTTTAAAAGTAGGTTCACGACTTTAAGGGCAGGTGGCACTCGCAAAACGGAGGAAAAAGTTCCAATAAACGTGGCTCGAAAAATCAATATTGTCGTAGTGACGAGCGATTGTTTGTTTTAACCCTTCGAGGTGCGTATTTTTCAGAAAATCCGAATCACATGAAAATTTATATACGGGGGTTTCTAGGGTCTGATGAGGAATCCGTTATCAGATTTTCGAAATTCAAGATAGCGGGTTCAAGATGACGGCGACAAGTATGAAAAATCGCGATAATCTGGAATCCGCTATCTTGGAAAATGAATTTTAGAATGTGGACCTCAGATTCGTAATCAGCGACTTCAAAAACTAACCAGAGTACAATTTTAACTAATTTAATAAAAATTCTATGATCCGCCATCTTGAACCCACTATCTTGAAAAATTAATTATGGAATTTGGATCTCAGATTCGTAATCAGCGACCCAAAAAACCCCCCAAATCTTGATTTTGAGCAAAAAATTCACTCATAATTCGTAGAAAATGATTTTTTCTGTAAAAATGTGTATTTTTCACACGTTTGTTTATTTATAATAAATGGAAAATTTATGCAAAACACTTTTCAACCTTTCATGTATGTTCCCATATCATATAAGAAGCTAAAAATTCGACAAGAATCCCTCAAATATGAAATATTTCATGAAAATGTGAGAATAAATAGGTGGTAAGTATACTTACCACTATGCCTCAAAGGGATAATCAAAGCAAATGACCCACTCGCCTCTGGCTTCTGCGTTTGCAAAGTTTCCGCAAAATTTTCTACATGTCTTCCTATAATTTTTCTACATATCTTCACATCTTCCTCACAGAACTGCAGTCTTTCCAAAATTTCCGGCTTTGTTCGAACTATTTGACAGGCATTTTGTATCCTCTGATGTGATTCATCTGTGTCACTTATCGATGAAGAATGCGCCATGCTTTTAGGGAATCCCCGTAAAAAAAATCCATGGGATTTAAATCAGCAGAGCGAGGGGGTCATGAGACTGATCCACCCTGTCCAATCTTTCACCGAAGGATCTATTTAAATGTTAGACGAATTACATCAGAGAGTACAAAATGCCTATCAAATAGTTAGAACAAAGTCAGGAATTTTGACCAGAAGCGAGTAAGTCATTTGTTTGAATTAAAATAAATAATTATATGTAACTCTGACAATATTAATTTTTCGACCCGTGTTTATTAAGTTATTAGGACTTTTTTCCTCCGTTTTATGAATGCCCTCTGCCTTTCCTGAATGAAAGTCCTGAATCCTTTTTAAACACTTTTTGTATATACAGAGCGTCCGGGACTTTTTAGAAGCGAAAAATTATGAAGATTAATCAGATCAAACTGAGAAGAAAAGTACTATTTTGCAAAAATCGCAATAGTTATTAAGTTACTAATGATTGAAAATCAATGAAAATGATGATGATGACCATATTTAGAGGCTCTTTTAATTGATAACTTGAAAATTTGTGTACTTATTTGCAAAATGGTAAAGGACTTTCTTGTCAGGATGACTTAACCTACAATTATATGACGGCTACTGTGTCTAGCGACAAGTTCAAAATTCAGGGTTCAAAATTCAATATACTCATATCTATCACTAGACATACCCGTCATATAAAGCTATGTGAAGTTAGCACCTGACTTTATCAAGAATATTTTTACATATATGCATCTGATTAAGCCCCGTTTGTACCCGTTTGTACCACTTTTTGTTTTGTTTGTACCTCAAAGGGGTGATAATTATAAGGGTTTGAAAAATCATCAGCACCCGACTTTGAAATACAGTAATCTCTCCAATGCCATTCGATTAAGCATCGTTTGTACCCGTTTGTACCGCTTTCCGTTTCGTTTGTACTCCTACGAGGATGGAAATATGGAATTTTCAAACTTCATATAAGACGAAACTTTGTAGTTTTTAAAGATATTTAAAATCCGAAAGCGGGTGCTGCTTCACAATCGTTTGTACCGCTTTCTGTTTCGTTTGTACCTGTAAACCGGGGTGGAAATATGGAATTTTAAAAACTCATATAAGAGGAAACTTGATGAATTTTCAAAATTCATATTTCCACTCCCGTAGGGGTACAAACGAAATAGAAAGCGGTATAAACGGGTACAAACGATTGCGAAGCAATATCCGCTTTCGGATTTTAAATATTTTAAAAAACGTCCAAGTTTCCTCTTATATGAGTTTTCAAAATTCCATATTTCCACCCCCGTACGGGTACAAACGAAACGGAAAGCGGTACAAACGGGTACAAACAATTGCGAAGCAGCACCCGCTTTCGGATTGCGAATATCTTTAAAAATGGCAAAATGTACCCCTTACACGAATTTTCAAAATTCCATATTTCTACCCCCGTAGGGGTACAAACGAAATGGAAAACGGTACAAACGATGCTTAATCGAATGGCATTGGAGAGATACTGTATTTCAAAGTGGGGTGCTGATGATTTTTCAAACCCTTATAATTATCATCCCTTTGAAGTATAAACAAAACAAAAGATGGTACAAACAGGTACAAACGGAACTTAATCGAATGCATATATGTAAAAATATTTTTGATAAAGTCGGGTGCTAACTTCACATAGCTATCATATAATTGTGGATTCGTTCTTGTGGGTTATTTTGAACAAAAACCTCCTTTATCATTTTGCAAGTAAGTCATTTTGCACGCAAATTTTCAAGTTATCAATTAAAAGAACCTGAACGTGGTCATTTTCTATCATTAATAACTTAATAACTGTTGCGATTTTTGCAAAATGATACTTGATTTTTCTTCTCGGTTTGATCTGATTAATCTTCACAATTTTTCGTTCCCAAAAGATCCCGGACACCCTGTATATATTCTCGAGCAATCGACATTGACGTGGAAACCATATTGATCTACGCGCTCACGATCCGGTTTATCGCGAAAAAGACGGTGACGTGGCGTAGCATGCAGCGTGCGAAGAAACAAGTCCATTAAACAAAAAATTTTAATCGAACGAGAATGGAACAATAAAAAATCAAATATGAGTTCACTTTCGGGCCTGTTCGAACGATTTCAAGAGTTTGAAAGGGACGCTGAAAAAGCGGAAGGTCACGCTAAATCGCAAATTGCGACATATGGCTCGAGTGAGAAACAATTTCCACGCACGTTGTGGATCATCGTGAGAAACAGCGTACAAAGAAATAAAAAACATTTTTTTTCTTTTTTAATTAAAACGAAGTAAAATAGAAAATCAAACATGGAATTCGCTTTCGAATATGGAACGTTTCCCTTCAGATTATTAACAGTGAAAGTTTAAAAAGAATTTAATCCTTTCACTGCTGAATTAACTTCCCTTGAGAAAATTATTAAAATGTTTGGTAGTCCTACGTTTTTTGGGTCGTTGATTACGATTCTAAAGCCAGATTTGGAAAATTCAAAATGGCGGACTCAATATGGTGATCATGATGTACAAAATTAATAAAAATTCCAATTATTATTAAATAATAACCAGGTCGTAATAAGAACATATAATTCTAGACGATGGAACTCGATCGAGCTGAAAAAAACTTATGTGGAAAAATGTTCAATACTGCATATTTATGCTTACTAGAGATTAAACATTCATTTTTGAGTAAAATAATATTGATAGTATGGATAAGAGACGGAGATACAGAATGAAAAAACTAGGAAAATAGAGCTAAAAAGTGCAAGAAAATCAAATTTCAGCCCTTTTTGTAGAAGTATTTGTTTATAAAAAATATCTAACTTGCAAAAAAATACTGAAAAAAATATATGTTTTTGTACATCAGAAAAATATTTAGTGAAAATTTCAGACCTCTACATTCAATAATCTTCGAGGAATCGATTTTTCCCTAAAAAAGCATTTTTTCAACTTTGATTATTGTAAATAATCACAAATGAATAATTGGGTACAAAAACCTATTGGAGTATGTTGAACAACTATTCAGTTATCTAGAAAACTCAAATCCCCGATTAGTTCTTCAAACTATGTAATTTACAACGCAAAATTGAATCAAGAAAATATATTTCCCACCAACAATGAAAGGGTTAAAAGGATTTCCGCTCGCCTTGTAGAGGCCTCATCAAGGTTTCCCAAAAGAAACGACGTATGAAGAAATAGAAACTCAATTCAAAAAGATAAAAAATGAAGATCAAACATAGAATTAGCTTTCAAGTTATGGAAAACGCGCCTTTCCGTGTGATTTCGAGGACTTAAAGGAAACTTAAAGAAACTTCCGCGCGGAAGGTCTTCCCAGAAAATTAAGAACGTATGGAGAAACAGAAATTCGATTAAAACATTTCTTCAAGTTAAAACTTGAGATAAGGAAAAATCGAGCATAAATTTCGCTTTCAAGCATAAAACGTGCCTCTTCGGGCGATTTCGAAAGCTTTAAGAGAACAGTGGAAAACTGAAAAGTGACGTTCCGTACTTGAAATTTGTTTTATCTTATTTCACGTCTTGATGAAACGAAATGTTTTAAACCGAGTTCTCGTTCCTCCGTATGCCGTTTCTCTCGAGAGGGCTCGACAACCCACAGGGTGGAAACGATGCCTTACTCGAGCTGGGAATCGCAATTTGCGGTTCAACGCGACTCTCCAGTTTTTCTCTTTCGAGCTCCTGAAACCGCTCTAATAGATGCGTTCCATGCTCGAGAGTGAACTCCATGTTCGATTTTCGATCGTTTCGTTTGCCACTTCTTTCTTAACGCCATATTTTTTTGAAGTCACATACCGATATACTCTTCACTTAAATTGCACATGCGTACACAGATATCGCACTCCATTGTGTAACTCCAAAGTTACAAACTTCTTTTCCGTTCTTTTCCCTCAGAATGAAATCTTTGAAAAACACAAATTAATTGTTAATTTATATCCATTAAAGCTGTTATACTATTGTACTTCCTGTTATACTATTGCTTGTTATACTATTTGTATGTTACTGATATAATATTAGAAGTGCGATCTAGTTTTGAAAGTTTTGCAAGAGATGGCACTAATGTCAGTTTTGTCAAAGACATTCCGATCACAGCTATTGTTTGTTAATGCTTTAATATTAACCCATGATATTTAATCATTTATTAATAATAGGCGCAATGAAAATTTTGTGTTAATACCATCTTGAAAAAGGGACTTCCTAAACAGCATTTTCGATACGCGTTGCTTTGGTTTTTTAATCAAAAGAAAACAGTGGCTGAAAGTCATAGAATTCTGATAGAAACTTATGATGATGTTGCTCCATCAATTAAGACTAGTGAATATTGGTTTAGACGATTCAAAAGTAGTGATTTCAATGTTAACGACAAAGATCGCTCGGGACAACGAAAAAAGCTTGAAAATGCAGATTTGCAAGCATTATTGGACGAAAATCCAGCGCAATCCACTTCAGAACTTGCCAGAGCATTAAATGTTGATCGTACAACAGTTACTAAACGTTTACATGACATGCGAAGAATTAACAAAGAAAAAAAATGGGTTCCACATCAATTATCGGAAAATGCCATTGCGAACCGGTTGAACATTTGCATTTCGCTTATGGCCAGACAAAAAATGGAAAGTTTTTGTATCGAATTGTTACTGGGGGTAAAAAATGGATCTATTTCGATAACTCCAACCGAAAAAAATCATGGGTTGATCCAAGCCAACCAGCAACATCCACTTCAAGGCGCGATATTCGTGGTTCAAAGGTGTTGCTATGTATCTGGTGAGATCAAGAAGGTGTTATGTACCATGAACTGTTAAATCCGAATAAAGGTATCATCGCTGATCGTTATGAACAACAATTATACAAACTGAAGCGAGCATTGGACCAAAAACGATCACCAATTGTGAGTAAACGACGCAAAGTGATCCTTCTTCACGGCAATGCTCGACCTCATGTTGCATTATCAGCGAAACAAATGCTATTAAAGCTGGAATGGGAAGTCTTACCGTACCCCGCGTATTCTCCAGACATTGCTCAATCCGATTATCACTTGTTCCGGTCGATGCAACATGCTCTAGAGCAGGGTTCCCATCCGGGGGTGCGAAAAAACATTCTCAGGGGTGCGAGGAAAGTGATTGTAATTAATAATGATTAAGATGAATTCTGGAATAATCCGGCATTTTTACCATCAAATTAAAAAAAATATTATTAAAATTATATATCTTTTAAGTATCTATACGTATATATTTATTACGTATCACTATGCGAAGCTTGATACCATAGTTAATAATTTTTTTATAATATTAAAATGATAGTTAATTTCTATAAAATAATACTATGTGATAATAAATTATTATAAATTAACTTTTTACCCTAAAACCCTAACAACTAATTTTTATCATAAAACATACGAATAATTTTTTTTGTAGGGGTGCGAAGGTTCATTAATAAATTTTTGGGGGTTGCGACATACAAGAAGGTTGGGAAACCCTGCTCTGGAGGATACATACTTTGATAACTTGGAAAAAGTGTGAAAATTTGTTGAAAATTGAATCAACTCCAAAGAGGAATCTTTTTATCGTCGCGGAATCATCCATCTCTTGCCAGAAAAACGGAGAGAAATTGTAGAAAGCGAAGGTAAATATTTTGATTAAGATATCCGTTCATTACCTTGTTTAAGGAAATCAGTTTTTGAGAAAAAAAAAACCCTCAAAACTGAATCGCACTGCCAACAAAAAAATAATAATTGTTGAGATTACTCGTTGGCTTCATATCCGCTGGTTAATATCCACCGCTCTCACGTTCCACAATTTCTTTTCACGAACGAAAAAATCGAGTCATAGAGAGTTAATTAGACAGGTCTCTTTTTAAAGGACTTGTTCCCTCGCACACCACCGAGGTGAAGAAGGCAAACAGTGTCTCGAGTCGCGACAGGGCGTCAATATACACGGGAACGCGGGCTTGATTGAGCGAAGAGAACCGGATCGAAAAGGCGATCTCGCGGGAAAATTGCTCGTTGCGCAATTAACACGCCGGCGGGCGTGGACTAATAATGGCCGGGCGGGGAATAGATGGGATACTCGGCGCATAGAATCGTCGGATGCGATCGAATCGGTTATTCGATGGTCATAGAGTGCAATTTGTAAATCCGCAGGAATCGAGCGGTCGCGTCGCAGAGGCCGTCGCGGCCGTTCTTCTTGCTATTCGCCCGGGTAGAGATGATGATTCGCATCTTACTAGGACGTTTCCTCAAGGACGAGCACTTGCGCACGAGGAACACCGGCTGGCCGGACGCTCTTTTCAGCTGCGACTTTCGGCGCAGCGGTCGCCTCCGGATGCCGGACTTCTGCCTCTTCAGGTGCTGACGCTGCTGCTGCTGAGGGAAACTGACGTTCCTCTTGCGCTCGTTGAAACGCTCGACGACATCGTCGTCGTCATCGTCGTCGTCGCTGTCCGTCGACGAGAGGCACCTGTAGCCCGTGTTGGAGCTCTCGCTCTTCGACCTTTCTTTGACAACGTCCTTCGCCAGGAAACTGAGGAACTGGCTGCTGGCGAAATAATTTCCAGAAGCAGCCGCCCCCGCCGTCGTCGTCGCGGTCATTGTCATTGTCGTCGTGGTTACCGTCGTCGTCGTCGTCGTCGTCGTAAGCGACGGCTTCCAGGTGGTCCCGCGCGCCAAGAGGCCGCTGATCCTCAACTCCTCGGAGAACAGCTTGTCCTCGTTGAAGTCGCTGATCTTGGGAGCCGGGCAGGCCGACGACGAGGACGACGTCGCCGAGAAGGAGCCCAGCGATGACGAGACCATCGAGTTGAGAGCGTCGTCGTGGACGCGCTCGTTGAAGTCACCCGACAGCAGCAGCTTCTGGTCGTCGAACTGGTCATCCGACACGTTCGACGACCAGTCGTTGATTCGTTCGAGGATCGGACCCTCGTCGTCGGGGAAGTAGCGGATCTCCCGCCAGACTCGCCGCTGGCGTCTCGAACGCCGCCTCTCCGGCGGGACGAACCACACCGGGCTGCTGGTGCGAGGAGGCTGCTGGCACTTCCTGGAGCGCTGCGACGTTCGCTTGCCGCGGCAGCGACGGGAACCCGAGCGCCTGGACGCGCTCGTGCGCTTGAAGTAGCCCTCGCTGCTCACGCTCGGCGACGGCTTCGGCGTCTTGCGGCGGAATAGGCCGTTTCGCGCCACCCTAGAGCCAAGCGGGGTATCGGTTTCGCTCGAGTGACAGCGATCGAGATCGCGCGATCGGCCGGTGAGAGACCAGTACCCTAGAAGACTCCGAAGCGATTCGATGAGGTCACCGAAATCGCACGCGGCTAAAGGCGGGTGTACACTGAACAACGAAGGCACGAGGTCGAAAACAGCTGGGCAAACAATGAACGCGAAGACGACCGCCCGAACACTCGCTGAACCTTTGTTGTTTATTCGTTCAATGTGTACATCTGCCTTAAGAACAGATTGCGATGCAAGCGATGCGACTTATAGTGATTTCGGTTGCTCGCACAAGCGAGCTGAAGCCATATTGGTAGTCCACTGTGCGATCACCTTAGGTACATCTTCAGCTACTGTACTAATTGTTTCATTAACTGCGAAGCATCTGAGAGAAGATGGACCTATAGACAGGGTGTTTAAAACAAGCGTTCAGGATTTTAAAGGCAGATAGTATTCACAAAATGGAGAAAAACAGTTTTAATAAACGTCGAGTCGAAAAATTAATATTGTTATGAACAATTATTTATTTTAATTAAAGCAGACCTAACGTTGAAATAGGTCCTTCGAATGAAAGATGGATTGGGTCAGTCTCATGGCCCCTTTGCTGTCCTGATTTAAATCCCTTGGACATTTTTATGGCTATTTCTTGAGAATATGACGTATTTTTCACTCATAAAAGACGAATTACATCAGAGAATACAAAATGCCTGTCAAATAGTTGGAACAAAGGGAATTTTCGAGAGACTTTGCAATTCTATGGTACAAAAATATGAAATGTGTATAGAAATAGGAGTAAAAAGATCTTGTGCAAACTCGATAGGCACCCGAAGCGAACAGGTCATTTGCTTTAATTAAAATAAATAATTGTTCATAACTCTAACAATATTAATTTATTGACACGTGACTGTTAGAACTTTTTCCTTTTATTTTGCGAATACCATCATTAAAGTCCTGCATCACTTTTTTTAAACGTTCTATATATAAGCAACCTTGAACATAAGAAAGGACTATAAATATGGCTTTGGTGCAAGTAACCTAACCAAATTCGCTATTAGATTGCAAACATTTGCGAATTCGAACCCACAGATCGAGTTATCTGCAGCGTTTTCTCAGGCTGCGTTTGAACACGGCGAAAGATTAACCCCTTGCGCTGCAATGCAGTTTTCAAAATCTCACACCGGGAAAAATATCTATTGCAATATTTTCAACACAAAAGTGCATCGATGAGAAAAAATGTTATCTATTATCTATCATCGCTATTATAATCTGACGATTATAATTACAGTCGTTTCCGGCACCAACTACATCTTCTGGTTGAGAAATCTTTTTCTGCAGCAAAAGAGGGAGAATAACATTATGCATATTATTATCGCTAGCGTTACAACAACCATTACTACACGAACGGTTCAATTTTCACTACGCGGTTATAATTATAAATATTACTTTTTTTTCAATGTATATAGAGGAGAAGGTGATATTATGGGGTCATTCTCAATATCTCCGTTATTAGCTAGCAAATTCCAGTTATTACTTGTGGAATCATTTGTTTAATAATTCGCCGTTAGCGCAGCAACGCTAATGTATCAATACACGATAGTTAGCACTTCTTACAACGTATTTTTACTCTCGAGCATCTCAAAATATTTTTCAAGGTAAATTTTAGCATTTAAGCAGATGTGTTTCCTCATTATTTTTAAACTTGAGCTTGTTATCACACACGAATATATATGTGTACACACGAATGTACAGTTGAGTATTTTGTTTGTCATTTGACACTTTATTCGGTTGCGCACCTTTCAAGTTGTGCAAAGTTAAATAAAAGAGCATGACATCTTGCTAATGTGGCCCCATAAGAGTGTTGATAAATACGGTCTCTCTTTCGAGGTTTTTATGCCAAAGTAATTATTCGATAAGTCGATTCTAATCTGTAGTACACTGTTGCATTTATGCTTGCATTACATTGCTGTCTTTCTGGCAGATTGTATTTCCTGACCAAGCAAATCAATATCCCCATTAAAAATCCGCAGTTATATTCATTATTATTTCTCTTCCAAGAGTTTAATTGGAATAAATATATAATTTCGTCAACTAAACGCTTTGTGTTATTTTGAACAAAATTAATTTTTTCTATCAGTTTTAGTGGAAGGCCACATTACCACCCCACTTTTTCGCTGGCTCATTATGCTGTGTCGCCACATTTTTATAAATAGCATCCTAAGTAATAAACATTACGTAAATTTGAGTCTAATCGATTAAATAACACTGTGGCAAATGTAATCATTCAATTCTCACTTTAAAATATTGATTACTGACAAAGTTATTGTACAAAACGTGAATGGAGGGCCGTAATAGCATCTTCTCTTCCACTCTTTTATAACGAAGGGCGGGCAGTCATAGCAGCCACAATGTTGATATCTCACCTTTTTTACTTGCGATAAAATTCAAATCAAATTTAAAATGCGTAATAGCAAACAAACATTTCTGAAAATCTAGTCGACAATTACGACGGTATTAATTTTATAAAAACCTAATAATCTAAACAATATTTGAACGAGAAGAGACAACTACTACTAGTTACTAATAGTGCAAAAATTCATCAAACATCTGCCAAGTTTACTTGTTTATTTGTTTATCGAATATAATTCGTTGTTTGTTTCAGAGAGAGCTGCCAGATTTGACGAATATTAAAAAATCCGAGCAGATTTTCAACACAAAAAGTCTAAAAATAGTTCATAAAAATAAAACATTTTGTTACAAATATATCAATGGAATACTTATTAACTTGTACATTTTCAACATTAGCTGGGGACAGCTGGATATTGACAATCAAGTCTGGAGGTCTGGCAACCCCAGTCTGTTTCGATCAAAGGAGTCACTCACGCGCGAGACTCGTCGCTTCAACGCAAGGGGTTAAAGGTTCCAAAGAATCCTCGATTACCTCGTCGCTCGGGCAAACCGCAGAAGCGAATACTTCGTGCGAACAAAAAAGACCGGAAAAAGGACTCGACGAGTAAAACAGTTTCACCGACCGATCGCTGAAAGTCGATATAAGTTCGCAAAAGTCCTAATCACCCTGGCCTGAAATCCGCGAGTTTGGCGATTCGAAGGGAGAAGCCGAAGGACGACGAGGTATCCTTGCTGACGGGCTTCTCCGGCGCCGAGACCGTCCTCGCGACGGTCGGCTGCGGTTTCCTCTCCTTCAGGGCGCTGTCCAACGAGTGATGGACCGCGGAATCCGATGCGGCAGGATACGCGACCGATGGCGGGACTGAGGCCGGCGGGACCGGCACCGCGTCCCTCCATATCCTGCCAAGACTGATACTGACGCTGGGCGGTCCTTCCACAGACGACTCCTGCGTCCAGAGAACGTCCTGCCCGTTGCTCTCGTCCCGAGCATGATCCTGCGCGGCGATCCTAAAGGGCTTGGGCCTCTTGGACGTGAGGACAGGCGAGGCGTCGAGCTCGAGGATCTTCAGGTCCTCGGCGATCGAATTCGCGTCGGCGCTGTTGTGCTTGGGCACGACCTTGGCGGTCTTGACGACCTTGGGCCGCTGAAGAGACTCCACGTGATCCTCGTGGAGCTTCTCGAGGGAGGAAGAACTGACCCCTTGGAGCCACTCGTCGTACGTGATGGAGTCACGGCCGAGCGAGTGCTCCTGACTCTTCTTCAGGTCTTGCTCGTTGACCTGCTGCTGCTGCTGCTGGATGACCTTGTCGTTCGCCAACGGTGCGGGCGGGGCAGGATTAGCCGCGGGCGTCTCTTGGTTCTTCTGGAGTCGGTTCCGGCGTTTGCCGCGGTCCAGGTAGCTCTTCCTGATGGAGATTCGCTTGAAGGACTCGCTGCGCTTGAAGGAAGGCTCGTTGCGGTCCTTCTTACGGCCCACGAGCCTCCTCAGGTTCTCGAAGGAGAGGGGCCTCATGGGGCAGCGCGACCAGCCGCGACTCGCGGAAGTACGCGATCGCTACGGATTTATGCTACCTCGAGGTGGCGTCGGCACGGTCGTGCGGCGAGTATCAACGAAGGCTCGTGCCCCGTGGGAGCAGGATCATGAATGCCAAGGAGGGTCCTGTGTGCAAGACTCCAGGAAGGCGGTCCACCGAGCTCGCTAGCTCTAAGTGATCAAGGATCCGCGAAAGACCCGGGCAGTCTGCGAAAGCATGAATTTATGGAAACGAGAGAATCTCTACGAGCGAATTCCTCCTCTCCCTCTCTCTCTCTCTCTCTCTCTCTCTCTCTCTCTCTCTCTCTCTCTCTCTCTCTCTCCCGTTCCACGTCTTTCGCTCTTCGGACCTTTCGGACCTTCCTCTTTCTCTCTCTCTCTCTCTCTCTGTCTCTCTCTCTCTCCCTCTCTCTCTCTCTCTCTCTCTCTTCTCCCCAGCCTCCTTGCCCTTTTGCTCAGCCCGTATCCTCGTCTTCTCCCTCTTCCCGCTCCTCCTCACCCTTTCCTGCTGCTCGTCCCTTCTCCCGCGGCGCGCTCGCTAAGGTGCAACGCCGAGGTCTTCCAGTCGCGGCTGATCAGCGTGGTTTTCCTTTTTCGACGCCGTGCTGCTGCTGCTGCGCCGCCGCCGCCGCTCCTCCTCCCTCCTCTTCATTGTCCACCTCTTCCCTTTTCTCCCGTGCCCTCGGCACGACCGGGACGATCATTCTACGCGGGGAACCACTCGCCGAGACCTGCGCCTGCTGCGTCGAGCGTCTCCGGGGAGCCGACGGAGGAGCGCGCGAGGACGTTCGTTCGTTCGTTCGGGTCTATCCGCAGCAATCGCTCGAGTTCGCGGCTGTCGTCATGATTTCCCTCCCCGGCGGAATTCAAAGAACTCGCTCGCTAGCCGGCCGGAGCTCGCGCGGGGACTGAGATGGCTCTCGCGTATCCTCAGACCGCTATCTCTCAAGACTGACCGCGAGGAGCGACTTCATTATCCCGCGCGTCTCGCATTATTTGTCACCAGCCGCTCCGCGAGCCCCTTTTCTCATCCTCTTCCGCTGCCACGATATCCCGGCGACGAGGATCGTCGGTCCGAGCACGGCTCATCGATCGCGACTTCTCACCGGGGTCTCTCGTCGACGAAAGTCGACCTGGAGAGCAGGCACTTTCTCCGCCCTCAGACCGTTGCGACAGCCGTTTCGCCCTTTGGCTCCGCCCGCCCCTTCCCTCCCCGGCGTCTTCCTCCACGCGGTCCTCCCGACGACGCTGCGGGTGTCGCGAGTTGCGGATTAACGGCCGACTCGTCCCTCCGTGATGAATGAACCATCCATCGGAAAGCGGGATTTCGTCAGTCGACCGCAACGAGCGACAAATCGAGTCTCTCTCTCTCTCTCTCTCTCTCTCTCTCTCTCTCTCTCTCTCTCTCTCTCTCTCTCTCTCTCTCTCTCTCTCTGGGCTCGACGACGTGGTCAGGCTCCTTGTCACTGGTCAAGGAGAAAATCCACCGTTCACGCTCGACGCGCACTCCGAAGAACGCCGCGAGTCGCTCTCTCGACCACGGCGGAACTGCATCCAGCACTCTCGTTGGCAACGGAGCACACTCCGCGGAGTTCGCTCCGCTGATCAGCACCGCTTCGAATCAGCAGCGGCGCATGCGGTGCCCACGTACCGCGCCGCACGTACACAACACGTGCACGCGACCGGCGCGCACGCGCACGCGCACACGCACGCACGCACACTCTCCGAAGCCTCGCCTCGTATTTTCGCCTTCGATCGCAAAGGCAAAGGCCTCTCACTCGTAGCGCGAAACACGCGACACACACGGAGCTCGCAAAGCCGACGGTGGCGACTGCTGGAAACACTCTACCTCCCGGGACACACACACTCGGGAACAGGACTCGCGCCTCGGCAGGATCTCGCGGAGCTTCTCTCCCTCCCGCGTCGCGTCTCGCCGCGCGTTCGAATTCGCGCGGCGCGCCGAGCCGACGAGCCGCGTACTTCAAGTCGCGTCGAATCACTGGCATTTTGCGCGCTCTCCGCGGCTCCGCCGGCTCTCCTCCCGCCGAGAGAGAGAGAGAGAGAGAGAGAGAGAGAGAGAGACAAAGAGAGGAGGAGGAGGAGGTGGAGGAAGACGAGAGAGAGAGAGAGAGAGAGAGGAGCGAGTGTACGGGTGGGAAGCCGGCTCGCGCGTGTAAAAGTCGTCGGACGGAGTAGGTGAGAGGAGATTAAACGCAGGAGCAAGCAAGCAGGAAGAAAAACCAGAGAGGGGGGGGGAGAGAAAGAGAGAGACACGGGAGTGGTGGTGGTGGTATGCCGTCCGTCCACTCTCGCCTGCCTTCTTCTCTCGCAGCATCCCACTCTCCCTCGCTCCGTCTCGCTCGACACCCTTGATCGCACCGGCACGTCGTCTCGCTCGTGCGGCTCCACTCGAGACCTCCGCTAACTCTCGGTGCCTCGCCTCCTTCCCCGAGAGCGAGAGCGAGAGAGCAAGAGAGAGAGAGAGAGAGAGAGAGAGAGAGAGAGAGAGAGAGAGAGAGAGAGAGAGAGAGAGAGAGAGAGGAATTCTTAAGGTGGGATTACGAGATTCGACCCTTCGCGGGATTGTTACAGTCCGCGGTTTTAGAACTGCGCGATACGGCGCGCGCGCGCGCGAGAGAGAGAGAAAGAGCGTCGATATAAATAATTATCTTCGTTTAACCGTGATTCTCCCCGAGTCGCCGCGATCTCCTCCTCGCGGCACTCCGCTTTCGCGGAGGCGCTCCGTGGCTCGGCCGACGCGACGTGAAGAATGCGGAGTAAACGCGCGGCGCCTGTCCGAAGGAAAAGCTTCGACTTATGGGTTGATTGCTCTTCGACCCTCGAGCGCCTCAAGACGCGCGCCGTACCCTCGAGATGCGGGCTCTTACTTTCCGCGAATGAGCCTCGAGACGCCCACGCTCTCGCAATCGTCTCGCCGACGACTTCTCTCGGACGCTTCGACTTCGGAGCGATTACCAGCCGGCGAGTGGGCGGCGCGGAATCGCCGGTGCTTTTCGAACTTTCTCATCAGCCGTCTTCTTCCTCCCCCCCTCCATCCTCCCCCTCTCCCTCTGTGCTGCTCCGACCGAGCGCGAAAACGAGTCCCGTGCGGCCGCGCAACGCTCGTCCGGGTTTTTCATTCCTCGGCGCGAATCGCTGGAGATCGCTGCAACCTACATCTCGACGAAGACGACGCTCGCTGATCGGCTTGATTGAGCGGCGATTACGTCGGCGATTAAACGACCGCGCGGCGCTTCGCCGGCGACGACGGCGGTGACGGTGTCGGCTATTAATTGACGGAAATTTCGCTCGACTGCAAATTGACATCGAGCGGAGCGTGATTCACACAGCGAGCCATCGATTACTTGGATTTCATTGTTTATATTCCGATTAATGGTCGGCCTCGTCGAGCGATTAACCCCGACGGTGGCGCGCCGTCACTTTACGCGCCTGAGGAACTCCGGTCCGCCCCTGTTGGACTATTTATTAATTAATTTATTTATTTACGGGGCGAATCCCTTCTCGAAAATTACAAAGAGAAAGGCAGTATCTATATGTACGCACAAAAATAAAATGCAAGTTTTAAATCGGAGGTAAGTCATAAAAACTTACACTCAACAGTGGTCGAATAGTATCTATATAACAAGATTACGAAATAAAAGAAAAAAGAAAAAGTATAAAAGAAAAGAAAACAGACCAATTTCCTAATTAATATTAGGTGCACAAAGGAATGATCCAAATTTTTCAGTTAAATTCAAGGTTTATTTTAAAAGAAAGTCAAACAAATTTGTCAATCAAAGTATTCGCCGTTGTTTTCTACAACTTTAAGCCATCTTTCTGGCAGCTGATGAATTCCATGTCGGAAAGATGTTGTGTCTTTCGGCACAATAAAGTCCTCAAGCCATTTTCGGATCTCACCCACTGATTTGAAGTGCGTATCGGACAAGGTATGTTGCATCGACCGGATCAAGTGGTAATCAGTATAAACACTGGCGGATTCTAAGGGGGGGTTTTGGGGTTAAAACCCTCCCCTTCCAAATTAAAAGAAATCAGTCTGACTAAATCCGTTTAAAAAATTTAGGTAAAATGATACAGGCCGAATCAAATTCTTATGTCTAGGATTCACTGCATCCAAACTGTCCGATTTCTGATATACTATGTCCACTGTTGTTTACTGAGAGTCTATTAATAATTATAAAAAACCTCAAAACTACAGTATTATTGTATTTACAATTTTATTAACCCCCCTCCCCCCTCTATTATCGACATCAGGATCCGATAGTGAGTAAGAGCGATGTCTAGTGAATACGCCGGGTGCTGCAAGACGTCCCAATCAAGACTCATTATGTCTTTTGTCGTAGAAGTAATGTGTGGCCTAGCGTAATCATGCAACGATTTCATAGGACATTCTCCTTTGCCACTGTACGGGCGTTTTCGTTCTAATTCTTGACTCAAACGGATTAATTAGTGTTGGTAGCGATCCGCAGTAATTGTTTCGTTCGATTTTAATAGCTCATAATAAATCGCGCCCTTCATATCCCACCAAATGCAAAGCAGAATCTCCTTTCCGAAATATTTTGGTTTTGCGACCGACGTTGATGGTTCGCCGGGATTTACCATGACTTTCTGCGTTTCGGATTGTCATATGATCTGTTCTTTTTAGCTATACTGCTGAACTAGTGTAATAAGTTAGAGTGAGATAACTAAATTTTTTCTCATTTTAACTTATTGCACTAGTTTAGCAGTGCAGCTAAAAGGAACAGATCCATAGAAAATCCACTTCTCATCGTCCGTGACAATTTTCCAGAAGAAAAACTTTCTACGCCGCTTACTGAGAAGAGAAAGACACACTAACACTCGTTGATTTTTGTTGGCTTCAGTGAGTTCGTGCGGAACCCATTTTCCTTCTTTCTGATTCTTCTCCATCTCGTGTAGGCGTTTGGAAATAGTTTGTTGCGTTACTCCTAACTGCTTTGCAAGTCTTTTTGTGTTTGTGCTGAATTCTCAGCGATCAGTTGCTCCAAATCATTGTTGCCGCACTTCTGAGGACCTCCGGGACGTTCTTTGTCATTTAGACTAAAATCGCTGCTTTTAAATCATCTAAACCAAAATGCACACACATTGTACGATACAATACTTTCGCCGAGGAAGGAACAAATCGTTTCGTATGCTCTTGCAATATTTTTTCCTTCTTGGAATTCGTCAAGAATATAGTGTCGGATACGCACTTTATCTGTTGCCATTTTTGACTGATATTGAACCAAGTAATTTTTGAGATTATGTTGAACCTCCCGCCATACTAAATGTGATTTTTAATAGCTAATTTCAATATGTCCACACTACATACCCGCAAAAGAGCGGGAAAATTTGATTACTTGAAACTTACCATGGTAATTTCGTAGCCACTTAAAAAAGCTTGGATTATTCATTTGTACACCTAATAATTGAAAGAGAAAAGTATGTCGGACAAATTTCCACCTGCAGAATCGCTCGATTCTAATAACAGGGTAAATTAAACTATCAAAAAATAAAGTTACTAGAAAATTGATTCCAAGTTACTCAACCACGTAGAGTGGCGGTCATCGTTCCTTTCCTTATCGCACTTTTAACGCACAGTTTTATGCATAATCTCGAATGGGGGGGGGGGAATTTACAGCAATAGCGGGGCGCTTGGTGTTACCGTCACGGTTGAATCGCTCGTAATCACACGTGTACGACGGCCGAGTTGGATTACTGATTTTCCGGCTACTTCGATCAACGAAGATCCTGGCAGGTCGATACCCACCGCCGCCGCCAACGACGATGACGGCGACGGCGACGGTGATGGCGATGGCGACGGTGACGGCAACGACGACGATGACTACCGAATGACTCCGGAGGTTCAGAGTCTCACGATACCGCCGTGATCTCCGGGACTCGGCGACGACGACAACAACAACGACGACGGACGCGGGCCATGACACCGTATATAGGTATATATCGTCAAGACGACGCGGAGGAGGGACCACAATAATGGCCGATAAGCGACGAGCCGTGTGGACGCGATGTGTGTGCAGCGCGGCACCATCGAGACTCACTCAAGGCGACTCGAGGACGTTTACCCACGAAACCGGCGGCCTTGATCTTACAAACGATCCGTGAAGGAGCGGCAGCGATCTGCTGCCGCAGCTGCACCTGCATCGCGTGCGACAAAATCACCGCTAATCGACCCTGTCCTCCCTTCCAACCCTCTATCCATCGCGCCCCGGCCGCCCTGCGCGAGGGAACAGACTCGCCTTCCTCGCGTGAAAAGCGTCCTGCGATTCGCACTTAACCCTCCAGGTACTGAGAAGCGCGATCGCGAGACAAGCGAAAAGCGCTCAGTAACGCGATGGCGCTTCTCAAGATCCTTTCATGTCCATCGCAGTCGCGGGGAAGGAAACATCATCTCGAAACATCGTTTATACAAAGTGTTGAGAGTGAAAAGAAGGCTCAGGATTTTGAAGACAGATAATACTCATAAAATGGAGGAAAAAAGTATTAATAGACGTGGATCGAAAAATTAATATTGTCCAAGTTATGAACAATTATTTATTTTAATTCCACCAACAGACTTTTTCGCTGCTGCTACTTTTATATTCTCTAATTTGTCTATGTCAATTATCGGTGGAGAGAATACCATGCCTTAAAGAATTCCTAAAAGAAATTCCTAAAAGAAATCTCTTCGCTCTCGCTCGGAATGTAAACAAACATTTCTTTTCCATTTATACAACGTTTCACCGAGCAATTGTTAGTCACATAACTTCGAGAATAAAACGAACAATTGCATAGAACTATCACAAAGCTTTCACAGTACGGTAAGAATGACATCGCACTTTAATCGAGAAACGGCAGAAATGCGTTTCATGTATAGCCGTGCAGCAGAAGCGAGTAAGTCACTTGCTTTAATTAAAATAAACAATTGTTCGTAATTGCGACAATATTCATTGTTCGACCTATGTTTATCAGGGCTTTCCTCCTCCATTCTGTGAATATTACCAGCTCTTAAA